CTTGACATCGATCGGGGACGTCCTTTCAATTCTGATGAAACTGGTTTTGGAGAACAATCACTTTGAATTTGGGAATATATACACTTCCTGCAGACCAATGGAACCGCTATGGGAACTAAGATGGCGCCAAATTACGCTAACATATTTATGTCGCAACTGGAAACCACCTTTCTCGCTGAACGCCCCACTCAACCGCTGTTTTACACTTGTAAGATACGTCGACGACATATTCATGATCTGGGCCGGTGTTGAAGACGAACTCATGAAATTTATCGCCGCCTTCAATTTAGCTCACTCATCGATAAAATTTACTTACTGCGTATCACAAAAGTGCATAAACTTCCTGGATGTAACTGTGGAAATTGCCAATAACAAATTAAGTACGAAACTTTACAGAAAACCTACCGATAGACAACAATACCTCCATTTTAACAGCTGCCATCCTCGACACTGTAAGACTAGTCTGCCCTACTCTCAGGCGCATATGCTCAGGCAACAACGACTTTGAACAAAACGCTCAGGAACTGAAACGCGTACTAACCCAGCAGAGGTATCCAGCAAATGTAATCGATGACGCTATAAACAAGGCAAGAAACCTCGACCGCTTAGACATCATTGGCAACCGAATAGAGCGTCCTCAAGAAAGCAGACGGTCTAACCTTATTTTAACGTATACAGGCAATCTTCCGAACATCAGCAACATACTGAGCAAAAATTACAATCTTCTGTCACAGAGCGACCGCCTCAAAGAAATCTTTCCCGTCGCTCCTCGGGTCGTCTATCGACGCGGCAGGAATCTTCGGACCGTCTTAGTAAAATCAAAAACTACCACTCCCGCAAGCCTAGGTTGCCGACCATGCCGAAAGCCCAGGTGTAAAGTATGCAAGCACATGTTAGAAACAAAGAACGCCACGAGCACAAATTCAGAGTTCACCTGGAACATAAGGGGTAGCTACGATTGCGGCACGTCTAACGTGATTTATCTCCTGCACTGCAATGTCGGTAATAAACAGTACGTCGGACAGACTAATCTGGCTTTCAGACTACGCTTTAACAACCACAAATGTCACGCACAAACGCTCCCCGACCTTTTGCTCTCAAAGCACCTGTCTCTTTCTAATCACTCAGTCAAGCACATTTCTGTTGTAATTTTGGAATCAGGCTTCAGCACAAAAATTGAAAGAGAGTAAAAAGAATCATATTTTATTTATAAGTTTAATACGTTCCACCAGGGCATTAATGAAAGTCCGGGAAGGCTGTTTAGTTTGCAGCTGGCTCGTTGGAGAGCTCAGCTGATCCTCTCCGCCCTTGAGCTTCTCGAGATGCACACGCCGAAGACACTAGGAGGTCTTTAAACTTAACAATCGATAGTTAAACCACATCCTAATGCGCTTAGGTCCGAAGAGAACCTCCAAAACGGATAAATGCGGCTCAAGCGGTTAATCTCAGGGTGCAATACAATACAATACAATACAATACAATACAGGCATAGACTGTCACATCCTACCACTCCTTATCCAAGGAAAAATCGCCCAAAGTGTTAATCCACCTCAAACTTCGATCTTCTAGCACAAAGGAATGTCTCGGGATTTGGGCGCGTCGGTGGTCACATGTGTCCTATTTCTGGTTTGAAGACGAGCCACCCCTTCCCAACCCAAAACTTTCAAACACTTTTTTTTTTCGTTTTTTGTTGTGCGAGAGTAAATAATCGCTCCACCAACCGGTTTTTTTTTTTTTTTTTTGCTCGCGAGCGTAAATAATTTGTTTATGCCAACATTTTTTTTTAATGCATTTGCAAGTTTTGGTGCCCTTTCCTTTCTGTGGTAACTATCTGTTTTGTCAACGCTGTTTCCATTTCCTACTGCACTTTACTCCCTCTAATTGTTTGCAAGTCCGGTCTCAGGGCGCCGCCATCTTCCTCAGTGGGGTGCGCTCTCGGGAGCGGCCATAATCCGATTACGACGCCTTAGCAAGGCTTCGTAATCGGATTATGACTGGTCCAAGCGCACCCCAGACAGGCAAGATGGCAGCGCCCTGAAGCCGGACTTGCAAACGTGTATATAAACATTCGCGCGTTGTACACTCGCTACCTGATGAAGAGCGGTCCCCGCTCGAAACGTCGTAATAATATGTATATATACATATCAATTGCAACACCACCTTTTCGCTTTTCCATCCTTGACACTTTCGAGATGAGGTACCTGATCATTTTCCCCAAGTCAGGTCTCAGTGAGCATAAATGCATCAGACCGTAAACATAACGAGTCAAAGAATAATAAAAGATTGTCTCGCTTGTGCTCAATACTTATTGTATTAAAATGTATCGCAGAAAACTGTCCTTTAATATTATGAAAACGTTTATTGAAAATTGTGTTGTTATAATGACCAGATTCGGTTAGCTTATCTTCGGGGAGGCATGCGAACTTTGGGCCTGCCATGAAAATGGAGAAAACTCCAACTACGGTTCACTGGCATCGGTTTACGTGATAACTCAAGCGTAATAAAATCGACTTGGCTTTCGATCAGAATAGCTCGCTCTTCATCTCGCTTCCGCAAAAAAATCTTTCCATTTCTATGCCAGATATGCTAGGAAGCCTTATCTGCCGCTCACCGTTTCGCCGACCACAGGAGCTCTCAACTCTGCCGTTTAAGGTTTTCTAGTATACAGGCGGTTGATTGAGTCCATCTTAATCGGCGACTTCGTTGGAACTTCATTCCCTAAAAGCCTGCTTGGTAAATGACTAAATTGAACCATAATCTCCGGAGTCTTGTCTGCTTTGGCTGGAAGTCGATGGACACCGCCCACATCACTGTTCTTCAGGGTGTTTATGTCTAACCCCTTCGCTACCGTGTTTACCTCACATAAAAGGCTCTTGTTTTCACCCAGAGGAGCTCCGTGAATATCTAGATGTAACCTCCTGCTCTGACACTCGAGCTCGTTGACCTCACCTTTCAGCTGTTTCACCGTTTCACGGCAGTCACCTTTCACTATCTTTCTGACTCGCGGGCTTTCAAACTGTTTTTTATTCCCCCGTCTTGCTGCTTCACCTTGTTCAGTTTTTCATCATACGTGTCTGATAACATTTGCACTGCGTTTTTGATGCCTTCAACCGAGCCCTGTAAGATCAAGAGGTCAACCTAGTTCCGGTGTACGACCGAAATCTAGTATACAAAAAGTCGCCGGCGGACACTGTTAACCATAGCGCAGTTTAAAAACACATTGTTAAATTTGAAAGAAAATCCGTATTTATGCACATATATGTGACCAGTTGTAGCGAAGGCCATAAAAGTAAACTATCCGTGGGCCCCAATTAGCGCAATTTTTTGTTTTAAATTCAAGAGGAGCTATGTAGACGCTGATGCCGTAAAAACAAGCACATTTGGCGCGTCTTGCAAAATTCAAATTATAGCCGCGCATATACGCGAACGCCGTTTTGCAAAAAAAGTTTTATGAAGTATCAAAAATATTGCAAAAACGGCGGCCGTGTGCGCATTGGTATGCGAGCTTCCTCCCAGGTGGGCATCGTTCATATATTTCGCTAAAATTATTATTTGCCGCGGTTATCTTGCTCGTCGCCAGCCTAGCTACTAAACGTTCTGAGTGTTAAATTTTTTTTCTTCCGTTTAGCAGGTTACCCGGGAGGGAATTAGTAAACCAGTGAGCAAACAACGAACAGGCTGGTATAGGACAATAAAATACACGGGCGCCGTTCGTTCTTGCCTTATTATTATTCTTTTCCCTTAATATTTCATCACCTCTCAGTTGTGCTATTAGACATAAAACTTATAGTGGAACGATGTTTATGTGTCCAGTTTCAGGTACGCGCGTTTGGAGTTCGAAGTGCCAAAAGTGCTTGTCCTTATGGCCTCATCCTGTACATTCAATGATCAAAAACTGCAAGTAGAGCAAATGAAAAATCTGTCCGCTCCCTTCTTTCTACGCACCCCTTGCGCCACCGTCAGAGTTACAGTGCGGATATGCTATTGTGGGCACAAATATGATTGTCACGTGAGTTGCCTTTGTTAAACTACCTTTCACATCTGGCGAGTAATAAGAGCACATGCAGGATTTTAGACATCATGTGATATGACCCAGCTGTGCAGTTCCTGTGTTTGTGTATACATCTTCTCGTACATGCACCTGGTCGGTCTCCGAATTCGATAAGCTCGTGCGACGTGTTTTCAAATACCTTTACTTCTCTTCAGATACATTGTTGTATCGCTTTCTCTAATATTATTCTAAACATCAGAACACTACTTTCTTCTTTTTTTTTCGCCAGAGACACGCGTTCGGTATTGAGTCAGTAAGGTGTTTCTTGTAACAACATGAAGATTTCCTTTTGGTGACAATGAGTGTTCGCTCTGTGGCCGCCACTTCTAGACTTGGCGCACCGCGTCACCGCTAATTAAATATCCGAGATGACATCTAATGATGGATTGTCGTGAACGTGCGCTATCCGGATAGTCATATAAGTATAAAAATCGCCACAGAAGTGCCTTATATGATCGTTTCTAGTTCTGGGTGGACTCCGAAGCCCGAGATTCAGGCACTTAACCGTACGCCGACTCTGTTGTAAGCATGCCGAACATGCCCGCCTTTAAACACATTGCAAAAAAAAAAAAAAAACGCTTTTAGATAATTTAGCTTGGTCGGAAATCGTATTCACCGAAACCCTGTTCATGTTACTCTGCAAAACGTGGTACGTCGCCGAAGATTTCTCGTTCTCTTTGCAACACAGGCATAACTCGCACATATTGATACCTCAGTCATGTCAGTAACCCTCGATCTCAATAATTTCGCAACGCAATATACGAGCGAGTGCACAGCTAATAAATATGTCCAACAGTAAGTATCCCACACGCTTTCGGCAGATGCAAATCCTCCACTTAGCGAACGATACACCGATCGCAGACGTTCCATCCCTCCTAAAACGCAGCGATATTAAATTCATAGCACACATAGCGATACATCAAAAATAGGGAGCAGAATTGGGCCTCACCTTTGAAGCGACGGCGATGGTAAGCAGAAGTTGTTGAAGCAAACGTGCACTGAAACTTCGCCGACGTAATCCGAGCAAAAATAAAAACGCCGTCCCGGACGCCGCACAAAACGCGAATGCTACAGCTGGAGCAGTGTCCTAGGGAAACCAACGTCAACACGGCCTTTCCCTAGACGTCTCGGCCTAGGGATAAATCGTCTCTTGCTGGGGACAAACGCATCCTGCGGATGCTGGACAACCTTCTTGCATCGGGTTACGCGGTTTTGCGTCCACGTCTATTACATTCGCGGTTTTTGTTGCGGAAGAGGTACGCCTACGATGGTCATTATATGGTGAATACGAGATGGCTTGGGCATATGGCTCGTCTTGCTACACCTTTTATTCTCTTCAGATTGAGCTCGCTACAACATTCACCGTTGCGCGTGCGACTTGAACGTGAAAAAAAAAAAGGGGGGGGGGGGGGGGGGGGTAAGAAGCAATTCGGAACCGAGAGACGTTGTATATACTTACGCATCTATGAATGCGCTGAAAAAGATGATTGTGTTCATTGCATCAGTGTCACAAATGTTTATAATCGAATTACCGGTAAACACGTACATAATAAAATAAAAGTTTTATAAATATCGAATGAGCAGTGCCTCAGTATCTTAAAATAGGCTAAGTTTTTATTTGATAACAAATATTGCTGTTCCCGAGTAACCAATAAGATGTTTCTAGCTGTCTTCAAGCCGTTCTAAATGTGAAACGTGAAAAAACTTCCACGTGACAAGAGAAAAATTTAGCTTTGACAGCGCTACAATTAAGACCAAACACACGTAACTAGGAAGCACGTGTCGGTTATAAATTACTTTGTTCTTTGAGCAATCGGTTAAAAATGGGAAAAAATATTTGAAAACGACTGTGAATGGTCAATTTGGAGTCGGGTAATATTCCCAAGCTGTGTTCTGGGAATGCGCTCATTATCATCAGTACGATTCAAGTATAATCGAAATAAAGGAAGTTTTTCTGTTTGTATAAATGCTATTTATAAGGGAAAAAAAGAAAAAAAAGAAGAAAAAAAAGTGTGTTTGCATGTTACCGGGACTCTTTCACGCCATCACCAAAACTACCGTCAGTTGTGTAATGAGCTTGATGCTACTTGTGAATGGAAAGATGAATCTGAATATTTTGCAGTTGATAATACGCATAAAAGACAAGTTTTTAGCCTCTAGTGTAAGCGTATATAAACAATTGTTTTCACACTAATAAATTTGTTTCCCCAATGTGTATAATATACTGCATATTTTCTATGGACAATTCCAAAGGCACTCGTGCGATATTTCTCATTATAAAAAGAAACATTCTTGGTGTTTTTGATGTTCACGATTCCAAAGCTTAGGATTCGTTCAGCCAATAAATCTAGTGGTGTATTAAATTTCCTCAAACGTAACTTCAAAACTGCACCAGTGTCTCTAAAATAAGCAGACTTGGACGTAGTTCAACTTCTCTACTCAAACTACTGTAGTTTAACTACTTTTCCGAGTAACTTGGTAACTTTCAATTACAACTTTATATGGGTAATTAGTAGTTTAACTTAACTAGATTTCCCAGGTAACTTCTACTCAAATTACTAACTACTTTCGAAATCTAGTGCTAATCTTGCTCACCACAAAAGTTTGAGCAATTGGAACGTATTGAAAATCGTGCAGCTCGTTTTGTTAGTGGCAACGATAATTGCAGCTCCAGCACTGCAACTTGGATAGAATCCCGTGTACCAGCGAAGGACATTCCTACGTTTCAAATCGTTTTACAATGTTTTTTTTTTTTTTTTTTTGGGGGGGGGGGGGGGGGAATTGATTTAGCATTGATAAAAACACTTATATGAGGGCTCCACATTATTCCTAAAAAAGAAATGGTCATCAGAGGAAACTTCCTAAGGTTACCAGCTGCCACACATGTTTGCTCACTCTTTCTTCCCCCGTGACCATTAGAGAAGGGAGCCGTCTGGAAAGTAAAATTTTCAGTTCACCTCCTAACATGTTTTTCTCGATTTTTACGGGAGGCTCGGTATCGTTAAGGCGTCTGATATTTGGTGTTATTTTCCTAAATGTACATTGTACAGTCTGTTCTTGTTTTTTTTTGTGATGGTCCCCTGTGCGATGTATACGTAGTGCATACACCATAAACTCAATAGGATTGTGCCGTTACAAACTCTAGGCTTTCAAGTTTTAATATAAATGAACAGGCCGTTACTATTCCCCCTGTGACTACACTATTTATAAGCTAAAAGCATTTTCGTCAGAAATGCGCCTGCTTCAGTGATGATGACCAAAAGGACAGCGCGAAGTGAAATACCGTTTGCGCCTCTCTCCTCAAGCAAAGAAGGTTGCTGAGGGAGTTTTGGCGTTCCGGAAATATCTGATAGCGTCACTCTTTATCTTTTCAGCGTCGCGAAAATCTCGCGTAGCACAAGGAATATAATTCACTCTGGTCATTCTGCTAGCGCACATCTACATAACGCCAGACTTACACGTACGACGGCCGGGGACTGGGGACTCAGCAACTTCCAAGTCTCGCAGTCCAAATATAATTTTACGCATCGTGCATGCTCGCGTATACGCTTTACGTGCAAGTACAGTGCGACGTGCAGGCTGCGCAGCAGTTCGCGCCAACCTGAAAACAATTGCCCGAAAATAGCAGCAGACGACATACAGAACTAGAAAACAAAACATGGGGAGTTTCGAAGTGAAAGCCATCGTTTTGCTAAAAGACTAATACTCCCGTAGACAGTGGCGTACCAACTTCTTTTTGAGGGGGGGGGGGGGGGGGGGCAAATCAGACCCCCCCCCCCCCCCCAGGGCCGGGGGGCGGTGCCCTTGGTATGTCCCCCTTGCCCCCTCCCCCCTTTCCCCCCCTGGGTTGGTACGCCCATGCCCTTAGGTAATGCTAATACAAAGATCCTAACTGATCTGCAAATTTTCTTTTGTGCTACCAGCTAAGGGTTTAAATTAAATTTACATTAAAACAAAATACACGTAAATGTAAGAGAACAAACACACGGCAGTGCAACTAAGATCCTTTTATTTCAATGACTTTAAATAAATATTAAAACAACACACACACAGATTTTAGCTTTGTGACCAAGTCATACAAACAAAAGCCTCTTTCAACAAGGAGCGGATGGCGCGGCCGACGCGCAGGAGCTCGGTTTCTGACATCTTCGCACGCGTTCACTAATACAGACAGCACCACACGAGAAGCACAACATCGTGCATAAGTACTTCGTCACGATTATCGCCTGGTCGCGTTTACTGAATCAGCATAAATTATGGCATTACAAATTAAAAAAAAAAAAAACTACATACAGTGGGTATTTATAAACACATCTGATTGCTACAATAAAAAAATAAACACAACTAAAGATGCATTTCACATTTTAGAAAACGATAGCCAAAAAACTAAAACGTGACCGGCATCAGTTAACTGACCACCGTCCGCAAAATTTGGCGGATTTCATTGACTCTCGATAGATATAACTGTTGTACTTATTGTGCGTGCACGTAGAATAAGTACAATAATACACATTTTTACAAAGACGTCAAAGTTTGTTCTGAAGGATTGTGCAGGATAAACGCGCTGAAAAGACGACGGAGAAGTTAAAGGACGACGAACTCGTCTTAAGGGTATCTACAAGATCAGAAATGGCGAAGCCCCGCAGCTTTGCGATGAGCTAAATTATGGTGAACGCCCTTTTCGTGACCCTGTCTTTCCGTTGACGAGAAGACTCGAGTTGTATGAGACTGTTCTACCTTAATGGCAGTGCACAATCAATGACGCGAACGCGGAGGCTTACCTTTGAAAAGTACAACCACAGCACTCGTGCTCGAACGGCGAAAACGCCGCCAGAAAGTCCAACAGTTGGCACGGGAACACTGTCCCAAATTTTGTTCCCTTTTCTGCCACAGTTGAAAAGGAATCTTCAAAAATACTATACGGCGGGTTGTGCACATGTGATTAACTGACTTTAACGTTAAATTTTTTTTTTTTTTGGAGGGGGGGGGGGGGGGGGGGAGGTAGGGGAAGGTGTGGTGTCAGTTTTGGGCAGTGAAGATATTCTTTTCTATTTTAGCGCTTCACGAATTTTCTTGTATCTATACAAAGGAGCAGAGGGATTTATATTACCTTCCGATTAAGAGTGGAGTTACTTGGGAATCGAAAAGAATGACCGTTGTCGCTAACCAAATGAAATCGTTGGCCGAATGTCTGCTTCCAAACAGACGCGAGAGACGGTGCCATCGTCGTTTTGCACGTAATACGTTAACATTCTTTCTACGCAGGCGGATGACTTCCCCTATTTTAGTACACCCTGGCGAAGTTGTGAAAAACACCCGAGAATCATCAAAGCTCCGTGAACAGCCTCCTCTATCAAGCTCGGCGATTGGGCCCAGCCAATATCCTTTAGAAGACAAAGCCCGCCGCTCAGAGTCTTCCGACGCATTGACTGGACACGAGGTGCAGCCGAACTTATGCAGCACTCACACTGTCGAGGCCGGTTATAACGAAGTCAACGGGAATCGGAACTCACTTTGCTATACCCGGTATTTTGTTATAACCAATTTCGGTTATAACGAAGAGCAAAAGGGAACGGGAAATCGTGATCGCTTCGATATAGCCGCTATTTCGTTATAACCGACTTCGGTTATAACGAAGAGCAAAAGGGAAAGGGAAATCGTGATCGCTTCGATATAGCCGCTATTTCGTTATGACCGACTTCGGTTATAACGAACTGCAAAAGAAAACGGGAAATTGTGATTGCTTCGATGTAGCCGATGTTTCGTTATAACCAACTTTGGTTTTAACGAACTGCAAAAGGGAACGGGAATTCGCAATCCCTTCGATATATCCGCTATTTCGTTATAACCGACTTCGGTTATAATTATAACGAACTGCAAAAGGGAACGGGAAATCGTGATCGCCTCACTATATCCGCTATTTCGGTATAACCGACTTCGTTATAACCGGTCTCGGCAGAATATTCATTCTGTGCTTGGGCACGATTAAACCGTAATGACGTTGGGAGGCTGCAGTGGAATGGCTTTGGTTATTCTGGGCGGTGTTGAGCGGTGCGGGCTATTGCAGCGATTTCCAAGGTCATATCTAATTAGGCTGAGGAGTGACGATTCCTTCCGGCACCGGCTGGGTGTACTTGAGGCGGGCGGCCGGTCCGTACAGCCAGTCATCCTCGTCCCTGTAGATGTTGTACGCACGCACAGTCACCTGGCACGACGCTCTCGGCTCAGCGTCGCTCAGGGCAAAAGAACGGACGGTCGAGTCGATGTTGTACGTCGAGCTGTTGACGTTGGTGTTGCCCAACGAACATCGGACGGACACCTCGTAGCCCGACAAGGGGCCGTTGGAGTGCAGCGGTGCCTGCCAGATCAATGTCCGTCTGTTCTCGGTCGTTGTGACTTCTAGGTTCCGTGGTATGCCTGGCGCTGCAAATTAAAATAAATAAAAATAAATGAAGGCCGTTTACTAAAAGCACAGCACACGTGTTTGTTCGAATGGTCTACAGTCACTGGCATGGACCAGAACGGCAGGGAGGTGATTCCGTTGTCCCACATTCAGCGCGAGTTTTCTGCCTTCGATAACAGTCCAGCGGTTCGTGGGCCTCGAGCGTGCATGCCCATTCAAAGCACGACGGAAGGCAACAAGAGCGTCCGAAAGGGGCGTATTCTGTCGTTCTCATCTCGAAAGTGATTATAGACGCTTTCAAGTTCCTTCTTTCTGGGAAACGTCGTGAAACCCCGTTCTATTGCTAGGCCGATTTAGTTTAAGCAAAAGAAGTTCCAGAATCACAGAGGGGAAAAAGGCGAAGCTAACGGTCGAGTCAGTGTTGCGAAGTGCTTTAAGTACATTGTACTTAAAGTACTAGTTCAAGTAGGTTTAGCAAATTTGTACTTTACTTGAAGTACATTCCCTGAGCATGTACTTGTACTTTATTTTCAAAGTATTTTTTTCTGTACTTTCACAGGAAAGTACAACTCCCGACCTCAAAGCACATTCCCCTCATTTGGTCTATGAAATTAAGCACTTCCTAGAATCCCGCGCTCGCGTTCTTTGCTTTCCCAGTACTATCTATACGCAACTTCTGAGGCGAGTATAAGAAATTACCAACGTTTAGCAAAAAAACAAAAAAAATGCGTATAGTCATGTGAAAACGCGCTATCGACTTCCAGTCATTTCTTCTGAATTAGGTAATGGCGGCTGTGATACCGAGACATATAAGTGCCTTATATAAGTTGACTGTGTTAAATATTTCGTAAGCGATAGTAAAACAACTACTATGTGGCCACTTGACTTTATCCGAAATTCGCCGCCATTTCACAAAATAACTGATGCACCGCCATTACCCCTGGGGCAATGCATATAAGTTTAAAAAAAACAATGTATAGAGGATTGAGAGGACATAACGGAAAGATCGCGTTAAAAAGTACCTGTACTTTACTTAGAAAGTACATTCTATTTAAGGCGCTTTACTTCAAGTACATTGCGCCCAGTGTACTTATTACTTTACTCGAAGAACATAACCGCTCATTTACTATGAACTTTACCTAAAGTACATTTTAGACGCAGTTTTCCACACACTGCGCCGAGTACGCTATGAAATAATAAATACACGTCCTGGTATCTACGGAGCGAAACTCGGTGAATGGCGCCGGCGAAACCAAAAACGTGTCTGCAGCAAAATTAAGTCTACGCTGTGGCACTGCGTAAAAAGTTTCGCGTGCACACGTCACGCTCATTTTTGTTTCGCAGTGTACATCTTTCAAAGACTCAACGTTTTTTTGTTTTTTTTTCGATCATGGCAGTTGCCTAACCCTCCTCTGTAAATCTGCAGTGATCACCTAACGCCGCCTAGAATCAATAAAGCCAGCGAACAGCCTCTATATAACTCCTCTATATAGATCCACGTGACGTCATCACACTCGGAAGGCTCCAACTCGCCAACTGGTCCCGAACCCGACGCCGAGCGTCCTCCGACGCGTTGATTGGACAAGGGGCACAGCCGAACTCTGACGCAGCACTCGGGACCAATCTGTGCTGGCGCTCGACCTCACTGCGACGACGTCATGCGCGGGCTTAGATTATTCCAGGTGGTGTTGGATTATAGCCGTCCGAGTGCCCTGCGGGAACGCTGACGTGCGGGCGTATTTTTAGTGCGCATTAATCCACTAGCCGTGTTATTTGAAAACAAGATGCTTCAGTTAGATCTGGATTCATTTCGTTTCCAAGCCGACCCTGGGTCTTTTCATTGTGTGATTATATTTGGTAGGAAACTGTTGGGAAAATTATGTGGATAGACATGCTTTCTGCTCTTTGGCTCTGAGAAAAATCAACTGAGAACGAATCACGGACCAGCGACGATTGCCGCGTCGAAGGGGTCACAGGGAACTACATTTATGTCTTAGAGTGTGCAAACACTGGTCTCTTTAGCGTGCCGTTTGATTACAATAAACGTGCGATGAAGGTCTTATAGATTTTTGCTTGCGACGATGGCGAACCCTGATGTTCTGGGTCTGCATAATCTGTGCCATAGAAAAACCCAAGAATTACTCGGTGGACGTCCAAAAATGAACCCCTCGCACTGCTATGATTTAGTCGGTTTTGTTAAAGTCCCTGAAGTACCGAACCGCGCGTCGAAGAAACAAAAGAATTCGCAGTGACCGTCTTCGTAAGGGTTGACTTGGTGCGCTAATTCGAGTGTTCGTAAGCTGGTGGACCTGAAGCCTGTTACGTTAATATCATGGGTCCCACGCCGCACATTCTCAGAAGTTACCTTGCGTTTTTACCGCATCTCGACGCACTTGGAAAACGAACCGTCGGTCCTCCATTACTGACTTGAGCCAGTGATGAGGGTGACATGGCTATGTCCATATGCTTCTACTGCCCTTTAGTGTCACTCGCGAAAGGGATCGGCACCTGTTTTGCCACTGTAGGTTGCATGGCCTTTGAGTAGCGATCTCTATCTCCCTTTCCATTGGTTGAACTGATTAACAAAATGACAAATGGTTAGCGTTTCGAGTGCGTCGCGGGGGTTTATAATGCAGCCACTGACAATTCAAGAAATTTGGGGAGTTCTAAGCATCTTATGATCGTTCCGCATTCCCTGAGTATGCGTCATTAGCCGATAACAACACCAACTAAGACATCATGAAGCATGAGGCGTGGACACAGTAAACTACGCCCTTATCTGCTTAAGTTTTCCGTGACTGTGGTGTCGATGCTCCGTTCTGTCCGTTTGCGTGACGCGACAGGGACACATTTTTGTGTTTGGGTATTCCGGTGAAGAAAGAAACAATCGTTTACGAAAGGTCAATTAAATAAACGCCAAATATACAGAAAATAATAAGGAAAATACGTGTGCGCTTCACGATATTCTCCGAAATTAGACGCGAGCATTGAACTTACCAGAGGGCGGAGTTGAAAACTCGACGTGGCTGGAGTTTCCACACTGGGTCCTCGTTGTTCCAACCAGACAGGCGGACACCCCGACGGTGTAGTTGGTCCAGGGCTCGAGACTCGACAGGACAATTCCAGTTCCGTTCGCCCACCGCCTCCTCTCCTCCTCCATGAAGGCGGGCGCGTAGAGGGTGACGTTGTAAGAGACGTCAAACCGTTCGAGATCGGCCGGCTCCTTCCAGGAGACGTACACAGAAGTCGCCGCGAGATCCCTGAAGCCGAGGCTCTCGACAGTTCCTATTGGAGGGGCTTCGGTACTGAAAAGTGCAAGTCCTCGTCTGCCTCGAACGATTCGATCGTCGTGCTCGACGTAAGCTCGTATCTCCACGAGGTACTCTCCAAAGTTATCCAGTGCTTCGATGGTTATCGTAGTATCGTTCGAAGAGGTCGTCGAAGTCGTGCAGCTGGACTCGTCGATGTCCGTTTTGTTCGCGAAGCGGCAGACACGGAGGATAAAACCCTGCATCGGCGGATCGAACGTACCATTCGGAGGGTTCCAGCTTATAACGGCCCTCGACGTAGTCGTATTTAATCTCGTAGGCTTCACGGTGACACGCCATGGTTTAGGGTATGGTGCTGGATCTGTCATAGCCTCTGCCTTTCCAGCTATGGTCTCCCACGCATCGGAACCTTGTCCGTTGATATTGGCGATTTCTATGGAGTAAGTCTCGAAAGGTGTCAGGCCTGTTATCGTGAAGTTTGTGGCGTCGCCGGGTACGGTGACTGTTCCGACAAAAGTTCTTTGCTCGGTGTCGTTCTTCGAGTTCCACCAGGTGATTCGGTAGCCTCCCGACGGTGCATCCTGATCACCCGCTGGTTGCCAGTTCACCAGCAATGCCGTGCTGTTGAGAGCTTTAGCCTCGAAACTGGTGAGAGTGGCACCTGTGATAGGAAGAGACAAAAAGAGACAAAGGAAAGACAATGTTTTTTTCTATAAAAATATTTTTCTGCACGTCACCACGCGTGGTACAGCTTACACTCCCTTTGCCATAGCGGCATCTACATGCAAAGATACAGAGCGCGACACAGTTAGAAAGAACAATCAGTCGTTATGGTCTTGCTTTTCCATCAGACATAAACGACAGTTATCAAAACTATTAGCATAGTGGTATATGCTCATCCTGGGCACAAACTAGGCTGGTAACAATCGGTGTTGTTAATTATCTAAATAATAAAAAGGTACGAAAAACCCCATGTTGCATCCACAGTGTCGCCCAGTAAATATGTACAGTACAAAACGATAACGCACATAGAGGAAACAGGTGCTGCGCATTTTGTAGGTTAAGACTAAAATTATTTTTGGCCGACTTTCATAATGTACTAGGAATTAACTACAAATTCTAAAAAAACATGCTAACTCCCCAAAAAATAAACAGATCCTAAACATTTTTTTTTTTTTGCAAGGAAGTTGTTTGACATCGCTTGGCGCGAGCGGAGAGGTCAAATGTTCGGTATGTCTGCAACACATATCTTCATGACATGTATGGATGCAACTTGCAAGATTTGATTATTCGGCAAGACAGAAATTACGTGCCAATTGTTGACGTGTTTTTGATACGATCAGTCAAATAAACAAAAGTATAAACACGCATATGTATTGCGTTATCTTTGAATATTCTATATCCTCCGCATCGGAAATTTCATCGGGAAGGACAATACCTAAAACCTGCTATCGCTCGCATATGCTATCACGTACTCCTAGACAATTGGTACAACCACGAACAATCGAATTGGCCGTAAACGAACCTTTTGGGAGAGTCCGGAAGACAGCAGAAGCATTCTTCCCACACTCGCCTTCGCCCTCGTTTAAGGAACAGGCAGTTACTAGAATGGTGTAATTAGTAGCAGGATGCAACCCGTGTATAGCCGTGTGTGTCCCATTGACCTTACGCTCTAAGTATGCTCCGACGTGCTCAGTCAGGAAAAGAACCACCTTGTAAGTGACTGTGTGATCCGCAGGACCAGTCGCCTGACTCCAGAAGACATTCACAGTGTCCCATGTCAAGAGAACAACCGTTAAGCCGTCAACGCGTCGAAGGGATGGCGCATCGACTTTAAGAAAACTCATGGCGACATCACCCTCGATGGTATCGCAGTCGTGCTCCACGAAAGCCCTGACTTCCACAACGTAATCAGAGAATCCCGGCTCCTCTACAAAAACAGACTTGGTCTCATTTGGGGAGGTCTTCGCTGTCCGACAACTTGATTTCCCTCCGAGACTTTTGTCGACTACCAGAGGACAGATCACGACGAGGTAGCCATCGATTGGGGGGTCGACCTTGCCATCCGGTGGACTCCACTCAACGATGATCTTAGATGAAGATTCGTTTCCAGAGACCCTCTCGACAAGGAGGTCTTTAGGTTGAGAGCATGGTTCTGGATGCGTCTCTCCTTGACCTCTGGCTGAAAAGGTATCGGCTGACTGGCTGCTTCTGGTACTAATTCCGGACACATTGACGAAATATTTCTGGTAGGGTTCCAGACTCGAAATGACCAAGCCTTCGGCATCTCCGCTGGCATACGTCACTTCCGCTTCTGCACTCGCGGGTGCGTCTGCTTTCCGCCAGGTTATTCGATAGCCGTCTGGTGATGATTGCGTGTCACGCTTCGGTCGCCGCCACGTGACTGCCAAAGCCGAGCTGTTGACTGCCTTCACTTCGAGTTCCGTCGGCTTCTTCGAAGACCCTGTCGTCGGGAAGGCGAGAAAAAATAATGCCGCGAATCAAGCTTCTTGACGTCGGGCTGTCCAACGTGGGGCACGGCTGGGGGAAATCCTTCGGAGTTTATAAGGGCGTCACGCTTTAAAGAACCCCAAAAATAACGTATCAAGAGCGACCGGTTATATATAGAGAACAAATCGAATGTCCATCTCCAATGAAATATCAGAGGTGTACTGGTGTGTTGCGCTTACGCAGAGCCGCATCGCTGATCTTTGCAGATTGCCAAGCAGATATTGTCGTAATGGTCAAGGTTAAAGGCTTCGGTGCAAGGGCAACTCTTTTGCCGTTATTTTATTCCAATACAAAAACAATATGTGCCGGAGTAGAGTTTGAAATAGTTGAAATGAAATGACAGTAAGTCTGCGGTATAGAATCTAAAGAATTCAATCAACCGGAGAGACGATCACATGTGATCTAAGGAGGAAGCTTGAAAAGTATGAGGTTGGAAACGTATTTTTAAAGAAAATTAGTTTGCTACGTATAAGTGAACATATATTGCGCAATGCTTGAGACACTCATTTTAGGCTCGGTGTCCCACCGCAGACAACAGTTTTAGCTAGAGGCGCTTTCCTTTATTTTTTTTCCGTCAAACTGGCTTTCTGAGCATAAAAAAAAAATAGACGTATGGACATTCGTTCTAGAGTGAGGCACTAAAATTGCATTTATATCGAACTAGACGTACTCAAATTTCTGCTAAATTCGTCGTTATTAAACTTCAATATATAAGTACAAAACATAGGAAGGAGATTGGCGACGAACAGTGATCAGAAAGCTTAATGAAATTATACACTACACTCCCTGAAGCTCCTACATCCAGATTATCTTGCAATACATTTTAGGCACCAATCAGTAGTCTACGGTTCGTCAGTTCAACCACCAAATCCGGAAGTGGTACCATGCTGCGGTAAACATTAGGTTCCCGTGGCAAGATATATGGACACCCTTTGCTACTAAGAATGCATGCCTATTGGAGTTTTGTGTCGTCCGTTCTTTTTTACTCATTCTCCTGGGTTGCTATGTCAGACCTTCGCGTTGGCTAAATTCATGCATTCAGGTGTATTGCCGGGCAGTAAACATGCAGGAGCTCCTCAGAGTGTTAGATGGGCGATGCGAGTGTCCCTCCAACGGTATGTAATGTCTCCCAAATACAGCAGGGTTGAAAGTTGGGCTAGTTGGTAGCAATTTATGATAATATAGAAAGCGCAGAAAAAGCAAGGACGGAAAGGAGAGGACACGCACCACAGACAAGCGCCTACTCGCACCAGTAGTTGGGTTAGGAGGGGGAGGGGGGGGGGATAATTGAATGACGCATATGCAGCCGGCGAAACGAACTATCTTCGTGTTTTCCCAAGTTTTAAGAAAACTTCAGTTGCGAGTAAGCGCTAGTCCGTCGTACGGGCCCTCTCTTTTTCGTTCTTGTTTTTTGCGCGCTTTTTATTTGATTATGATGTCCCAAATAATTCTTACACAACATTCGATGGTTGTATCACCTACTATTGACAACCTCACCTGCTCGTGTTGTCTGGAAGACGGTCGAGCTGGCCTCCCCACACCGCCTTCTGGTTGGTCGCACAAGGCACGTAGACACGGCCACGGTATAATTGCCTCCCTGTTTCAAGCCAGTCAGGTACGTCTCGCTCTTGTTCACGTCTTGGAGCAGTACGATCCCTCCGTCGGTCGTCTCGTAGACAGTCACGTTGAACACAACTTGGAAGCCTTCAAGTCCAGCCGGCTTCTGCCAGGTGGCGTGCACGAAAGTTCCATTGGAAGTGTCAAGCGTAACGTTGGTGATGGTGGGTACGAAGTCCGGGTCGGTGCTGACCTTGGCTCTATTTGGTGTACCCTCGATGATTCGGCCGTTATGCACGACGTAAGCTCGAATTTCCACATTGTAATCGGCGAATGTGCTTAGACCTTGCAACGTCAACGATGTGGCTGTCGTATTTGTAGATTTGCAGTTGGATGTCTCCTGGTTTGGTACTTCCTCGTCAGTGCGGCATATGACGACGACGTAGCCTTGGACAGGGGGACCGTGAGTGTCCGGAGGCGGTACCCACGTGACCGTGACGTTCGATGAACCGAACAAGGTACCGGTTGAATGGAGAGAAAGTGCTCCTGGTGGTGGATTAGGTGATGGGTCCGTCGTACCTTCCGAGTGACCTGCCGTGGTCACTCCGGTCTCACTTGCAGAGCTGTGAGCTCTCGCTACTTGGACGATGTACCTCTGGTACGGCTCCAGATCTGTGATTATGAACGTGTTGGCGTCTGCTGAAACGAAAGTTGTCTTGTTGTCCTGATCTGTGATGTTGGAGTGGTCACTTGCTTTCCACCACGTAACTTGATATCCTTCCATGGATTCATCAGACAGGCTCGGTTTGTCCCAGCTGACACTGAGCGATGTGCTATTGATCACAGTGACTCGAATGTTGCTTGGTTCTCGTGGATCTGTCGGATAAAAACCAGAGAATTTTAACTTAAAAAACGCTGCTGTATGAATATTCTTGATCATCCATACTTCGTGCTAACAGGAACACCCAACTTCAAGGTGTCAATCCCCTTGTCCATGCCAATGTTAAACTACATCTACTTAAACTGAAGCTTCTAGATTTTATTAGAATATAACATCATGCAGTACTGGTACCTGGAGAAAAATGTCTGAGCAAGCAAGTTTTTTCATAATTTGCTTCGGTATCAAATAAACTTTGGGGCTCCAAATATATTGACATGAAATAGACATTTAAAAAAAATCTGTCCTTCACTTCAATTTTTTCCTTAATACTTTTCTATTAAAAATAACATCCTTTAAATTATAAGGTCGGTTCAGGATGTTCACCTTGTCAGTTTAAACATGATGCCTTACAGCCCCTTATTTTTTACTTGTGCCTTTCACCCTCGTTTTATTTATCTCGACGTTTATTTAGTACTGTGACACAACTACAAAACAAACTTGATTTTTTGTTGTTGCAATTTTGTGATCCGTGCACAGCCTCTATAATAATTGTTAAATTCTAAAACTCACCACCCTGAGTCTGGAAGTTAAAGCTGTCCGAGCCTCCACAGCTTCGCCGTCCAATTCGCACAATACAAACTACAACTCGTACGGTGAAATCCGTCCAAAAGGTCAGGTTGGACAAAGCCACTTGGGTCTCGTTCACTGTTATCTCGAAGACTTCTTCACCGCTGGTCTTCAAGAAAACTTTCACGTTGTACACGACCCTGTACTCCTCAAGACCGGCAGGCCTACTCCAGGTCACGTGGGCTACACTCTGGTTCGACAGTGACAGATTCAAGTTGTCCACGGCTGGAATGTCCGGTGGATCCGTGCTGAGCGTTTTTGTGGCCACATCGCCCTTGATGATGCGGCCATCATGTTCAACGTAGGCCCAGATTTCCACGTCGTAATCGGTGAACTTCTTGAGGTCTTCGAATACCGCGGTCAGTTCAGCAGCAGATGTATTTCTCGAGCTACAGCCAGATTCGGGTGAACGTTCGCTGTCGTCTTGAACAGGGCAGATGGTGACCACATATCCTTGGATTGGGGGACCGGAGGTCTGGTGCGCGGGGTTCCAGGTAACGGCTACTGTAGAAGTTTTGGAGCTTGCGCTAATGGCCTGGAAGGTGAGCCCCGAGGGTTGAGGACTTGGCTCGGGGTCTGTGAGGCCAGCGACGCGGACTCCTCTCTCCTCCCAGGCGCTGCTTTGGTCTCCATTTCCTCTGGCCACCTGGACGACGTAGTGTTCGTACGGCTCCAAGTCAGTTATTATAAAGACACCGGAGTCTGCGGCAACCAGCGTCGTGCCGTTGGGGCTTTGGGTAGTGTCGCCCGAAGTGGTGCCGGCGTGCCACCAAGTGATCTGGTAGCCTTCCTTTGGGTCGTCTGAGGGACCCGGTGTATCCCAGGTAACGGTCATTGACGTGCTGTTGATCACGTGAACGCGAACGTTCCTTGGCTCTCTAGGATCTGTACGGGTAAGAAAAATGTGAAAAAACAAATCAGGAAACACGTGAGACGTTGTTTGTCACAATTTGCAAATATTAGTTATCAATATTTTTGTGTGCGTTCATTATATCCCAGAAGTGTATATGCGTACGAGCTTTCATATATGTTAAGTAAAATAAAATTAATATAAGAAGAAGTACAGTCAGGCATTGGATTGAACCATCATTCTTTTTGAGCGCTTATACCACGTCCCTTAAACTGCTTGATCTATGCTACTTGCGATTATGCTATACACTTATTGTAGCCACTATAAACCTTAGGCCTCCTGGTTGATTATGCTTACAGGAATAGAAAACATTTCTATCAGATTAATATTTTTGATTCAGATTCTGTTTAGGGTGGAAGTTTGACTATCAGACATTTTAAACATCTCAATCCCCTCGAGCCTGCTAGTATTAGACTACTCTCAAAGAAAGTAAAGTCCCCACATTTACTATCGGACTGTAATATCACGCATCATGGGCTACTGCAGAAAGAGGCACATATAATTTTTCTTTTCTCCAATTTACTCTGTCCACTTCAGTTTAATCTAATTCTTGTCAATATTTCGGTATTGAATATAATATTCCAGAACCTAGAAGGGCGGTTGAGGCTGCCCACTTTGCCAACTTAAACAAGATGGTTCACACACAAAAAAACACCCTTAAGGGTGTAAAAGACCTGTTCCAGGGACTTACACGCATAGCTATACCCTTTCAGCACCCTTATTAAAGCGATACATCAATTTTAGTCGTAATATAAGGTACGTTTGCAGGGAACACACTATAAACCTTGAAGAGTGTGCAAAGGGTGTGAAAAAGCGTGCTTTAGTAGAGTGAGGCGGGCATCCTTTTTGGTGAAAGTGTTCGCCCTTCAAAAACAGTCACACCGGGTGTTTTCTTAGTCACTGCGTCGAATAGGTTTTGCTTGTACCAATTCGTTTTACTTGTAGATTCATTCCTTAGAATTAGACATATGCATCGTGTGATTTATTGACAAGAACAATTCGCAATTGCGGAAACGGTCACCTGCGAATGATTGTCTGCGAATGGTCGAGCATACGCGAATGAGGCTGTAGAGCCGTCAGCAGAGTCATGATTCCTCTCTCGTGCATTATCTACTGCATCTGTGTTTGCCGTTTTTGTGCATTTAAAAACTGCACAAGGGGTTTGGGGCTCGTAAACTTGTTGCTCGTAAAAATTGTCCGTAGAGCACTGCTAAGATCTCCCGCATCTTAGCGGCGCTCTCGTTCACCAGCCATCTAAGGGCGTTCCTGCAATACCCTTACAGTGGGAGCCCTGGGACAGGCTGATTTAAACCTTTAAGGGTGTAAAACGTTTCAGTGTATTCCCACGCCATTTTGTTTTTCGCTTTTGCCTTTACGTCTTGTTTCCGTTTCTTCCGAAATTATTTTTGAATTTCATGAGACGGTCGACTTCACGGACGTAAATACTTTTGGTCTTAGCAATTCTGCGACACGTGAACAACCTCAGTAATAATAATTAAATTGCAAAACTCACCATCTGAAGTTTGGAAGTCAACGCTGCCCGAGCCTCCACAGCTGCGCCGTGCCGTTCTCACAATACAAACTACAACTTGTACGGTGAAATCCGTCCGATAGGTCAGGTTGGAGAAGGTCACTTGTGTCTCGTTGACGATGACCTCAAAAACTTTTTCACCGCTGGTCTTCAAGAAAACTTTCACGTTGTACACGACCCTGTACTCCTCAAGACCGGCAGGCCTACTCCAGGTCACGTGGGCTACACTCTGGTTCGACAGTGACAGATTCAAGTCGTCCACGGCTGGGATGTCTGGTGGATCCGTGCTGAGCGTTTTTGTGGCCACATCGCCCTTGATGATGCGGCCATCATGTTCAACGTAGGCCCATATTTCCACGTCGTAATCGGTGAACTTCTTGAGGTCTTCGAATACCGCGGTCAGTTCAGCAGCAGATGTATTTCTCGAGCGACAACCAGATTCGAGTGAACGTTCGCTGTCGTCTTGAACAGGGCAGATGGTAACCACATATCCTTGGAGTGGGGGACCGGAGGTCTGGTGCGCGGGGTTCCAGGTAACGGCTACTGTAGACGTTTCGGAGCTTGAGCTAATGGCTTGAAAGGTGAGCCCCGAGGGTTGAGGACTGGGCTCGGGGTCTGTGAGGCCAGCGACGCGGACTCCTCTCTCCTCCCAGGCGCCGCTTTGGTCTCCATTTCCTCTGGCGACCTGGACGACGTAGTGCTCGTATGGCTCCAGGTGAGTAATTATGAAGACACCGGAGTCTGCGGTAACGAACGTCGTGCCGTTGAGGCTTTGGGTGGTGTCGTCCGAAATGGCGCCGGTACGCCACCATGTGATCTGGTAGCCTTCCTCTGGTCCGCTTGAGGAACTGGGCGCGTTCCAGGTTACGGACAACGACGTGCTGTTGATCACGTGAACGCGAACGTTTCTTGGCTCTCTGGGATCTGTACGGAAGAGGGGAAAGTGAAACCAATAAATAAAATCGGAATTGGCAGGAACATCTTTCTAGGGATGCTCTTGTGAGCCAAAATTAGTGCCATTTGAAAAGTACGATTCCGCTTTTTAGTGTGTTTGCTGTTTGCGTTCGATCTTTTATAGTTGGCTTAAAAGGGCAGTATATAAGTTGTATCTAATTCATTCCACGTAAAAATGCATATGCAGACATTCAGTAAAATATTCTTTACTAAAGTTCTTAAGTTACGTTACCCAATTACCTTAAATACTTTTGTAACCACTATAAATCCTATGGGCTCTGTTCGCTTCCCCAATTTATCTAAAAACATTACGTTCCTCAGAATAATTGTCTTTAACGACTATGAGTCCTATAGGCTCTGTTCGCTTCCATAGGCTCTGTTCGCTTCCCCATTTTATTTAATAACATTACGTGCCTCAGAATAATCGTCCTCCAAGAAGTTCAAGCTGAACTGTCCGAAGGATGGACGACTTACCGGCCAGTGTCTGGATGTCGTTCGATCCTGGTTCGCCGCATTGTCTCTTCGCCGTCCTCACCAGGCAGACGAATACCCGAACGGTGTAATTAGTTAAATGGGCCAATTCAGTCAATGTTGTTTCGGTCTCGTTGACGTCTAGCTGCACAATTGCCTTCTCACTGCCGGTTAAGTAGACCCTGACGTTATATACGACCCGGTAATGCTCAAGGCCGATCGGCTCGCCCCACGTGACTCGCACCGTATTGGAATTCGAGACCGTAAGCTCCAAATTGCGGACGGTTGGAATGGATGAGGGACTTGTGCTCATTACGGCCGTGGAAGATTCACCTTCAATGAGTCGACCTTCGTACGTCACGTAAGCCCGAACTTTAACGACGTAATCGGCAAGCTTCTCAAGATCTTCAAAGTCGACGGTCGTGTTTTCGGCAGACACGTTTTTTGTCTGGCAACTAGACTCGTCCAGGGCAGTCTCGTTGTCTTCAGTGGGACAAATGACGACGATGTAACCTCCGACTTCGGGGCCTTTGACTACGCTGGGAGCGTCCCAACCGACAACGACTTTTGCTGATAGCACGCCTACTTCCATTGTCTTGAGAACCAGTCCGGGCGGCCGAGGACTCGGTGAAGGGTCTGTCTTAACTCCAGACACAACTCCAAGGACATCCCCATTGGTGCTAGTAATCTGGATGATGTAAGATTCATAGGAATCTAGCTCGGATATGATGAATGTCTCGGTGTCCTCTGGAACCATCACGCCAGTCCCGCTCACAGAGGTTTCTCCCGTCTTCCACCACGTAATTCGATAGTCTTCTACCTTTCCTGTTGGGTCCTTGGGGCTGTTCCATGTGACTTGAATCGCTGTGCTGTTGACCACGCTTGCTTGAATACCAATTAGTTCCTTGTGGTCTGTGGCGTGTGAAGACGAAAAAACAAAAAAGGCGTAATATTAGTAGCTGAACTTAAGAAAGAGTACGCTAAACAGTCTCCTAATCTGGTCTCACTATTCCTGCAATGTCAGTTACTTTAAATCCATCAGAAGTAACTTCTTTAGTAGTAAAACAAATTCTTTAGCGTACAAAAAAATTGAAATAAAGAGAAAGATCAAGCATTTTTATCATAAAATATCACATATTTGACATATTGATGGCACGCAGCATGTGAAACCATTATTTGATATATCATACTACACATATTCTGCACGCGTAATACGGACATGATCTTTGTATTCCATGTTAATCTCTACACACGCTTTAAGCTAATTACGTTATACAGAACTCATATATTCCCACTAAAGCCGCCCACATCATCTATCTACAGTAGCACATCCACAGTGCCAATGATATTCGCATCACATAGACGTTCACGTCATGCATCTGCAGTAGTCGTGGATGATACGAAAAATCCCAGTCTAGATCGTGACAACAAGGCCTGCCACGTTATCTATCAGAAGAAAGCTCGACCATTATTGAGGCTTCAGCGGCTGTTCAATTCTTGTCGTCGTCACTCCCCACTTGACCAGCTGTCGCTGAGTTAATGCTGAATTCGCTGAATATAGAGGCGTTCCGCGACCAAATACCAAATCGAGCGTGGCTGAATCCACCATGTGGGCAGGTTGAACGATAAGGTTTGGGGCGTTTGAAAATTAGTTTGCGAGATAAATCACAATAAACGTTTTTATTTATTTATTTATTTATTTATTTATTTATTTATTTATTTATTTATTTATTTATTTATTTATTTATTATTATTATTAATTGTATTATTATTATTATTATTATTATTATTATTATTTTAAGTTACCGAGCACTTCATCTACCTGTGTTGACTCAGCATTAGCTTGCTTGCCAATCAAGAGGGGAGTAACGCCAAAAATCGAACAGCGGCTGAAATACCGCTCGAATTCACGCCAATAGCCGCGATCGCAGATAACTCAGCTTTCTTGCATTCATAGTAGTAGAGGTCTTTGGAGTCACGTGCTCGCCTGGGCTTTTTTCATAATGTCCGGACTAACGCAGCTCAAAAATATATATCGCTAAAATAAAAATTTCACAACCCAAAAATATATATATATATATATATATTTTTTACAATTAAATACTTTTATGAGCTCTCGAATGGAGCTGCACTGTGCTGTACTGAGAGAACACCCGTCATGGTGTCTTGATTTCATCGCTTCGAGTGGTGATGTGTATCATATCTTGACTGCAAATGCGGTCTCATTGTGCTAAGGGGTGAACTCAATTTGGCCACTGAGATTGCGTGTTTGTTGGAGCTTGATAGCTTTCGCCGTTTCGGACGGTGAAAATAATTGATATAGTACCAATAATTTATGCTTCGAGTCCATCGCAGTGCGGTATCAACTCAGGAGGTTCAGAGAACGCAACGGACCAACATCACCAGGAACAATCAGTCACTATAGCACGTAGACGTCTCGACAGTGAGATCAAGTGGTGACGTAGATTTAACGCGAACGCCACGTCAGCATTCGGCTGGGCATCATGTACCGGTCAATTCGCTGAAAGAAAGTACGCTTGGCGTTGGGTTTGGACCCAATCATCATCATCATCATCATCATCATCATTTATTATTCCTTGAAGGCCCAGGGGGAATTACACAAGGGAGTGAACACTTAAAAAACAAACAAGTAACAAAACTATTTATCTACGAAAACACGCTGTAATCTAGTTATGGGTTAGAAAAAATAAGCTAATGGCTGCAGAAAATTTCTTAGTATCAGATAAGGTAACAATTACGTCAGGCAGTGAGTTCCAGTCGTCAATGACCAATGGTAAAGTAGACATCTGGTGAGTGACGGTTGACGATGAAATCGGACGGAGTTTACAAGAATGGTCGAGACGAGGGAAAATGCGGTAAGGAGGTGATAACAAACTTTGTCTGAGATGACTGTTGTAATAAAAGATCCGATGAAGAAGAGAAAGACGAGACACCCTGCGGCGGTGAGAAAGAATGTCAAGGTTAGCTGATTGGCGAAGTCCTGATATGCTTGCGTAAGGGGAATAGTCGGAATAAATAAAACGGAGGGCTCTGCTTTCAACGGATTCCAGGTTGTTAGTTAGGTACGCCTGCCACGGTGACCATATGGAAGAAGCGAATTCTAGTTTAGTTCTGACCAAGGTAGTATAAGCTAGTTGTTTTACGGGGGATGTAGCTTGTCTGAGGTTACGGCGAAGAAATCCGAGAGTGCGGTTAGCATCGGCGATGACAGTTGTTATATGAGTGGTCCATGACAGGTCAGATGTCAGCTGAATTCCTAGATATTTATACGATGAACAAGCAGTTACTGGGATGCCAGAAGAGTGGTAAGAGGAGGATAGAACATGTGAACTGCGGGAAAAAGATAGCGATTTACATTTATTATGGTTTAAAGCCATTTGCCATTTATGACACCACTGAATTATAAGTTGGAGATCGTTTTGCAAGGTTAGCTGATCGTGGCGTGAATGAATGGGTCTATATATGACACAGTCATATATAGACCCATTCATTGCTGAGTTGGCGCCATTCGAGTGTGATGGCGTTACGTGGAGGACTGTTCGAAGTTTAAAAACTCTAGGTAATGTTGACCGAATACGAAGGAACTGGACTCACCCACGCCGGATGAAGTGAATTCCGTTGCAGTGGCTTCTCCGCACTGCTCACCGTGGCCACGCAGGATGCAGACAGCCACCGTAATGGTGTAGTTGGACCGCTGAGGGAGGTCTGATGACACCCACTCTGCATCCTCAACATAATCTTGCCTTATCATCGTCTGATTCGACACCAGGTAAACTCTCACGTTGTAGGCATACCTGACGTCCCTCAGACCATTAACCTCATTCCAAGAAACTCTTACAAAGCTTTGGTTAATTGCTGCAACATTTACGTTATCGACGGTCGGTATGGTTCCTGAGTCAATCGTGATGGAAGTAAAGGCAGCTTCGCCAACGATAATTCGGGTTTTGTGTCGGATGTAGGCCCTAACCTCCGCAACATACTCGGTGAAAGTGTTTACGCCTTCGAAGGTGATGCTGAACTCTTTCTCTGTCGTGTTTTGGGTTAAACACTTAGTTTCGTTTTGGGCCTGGCACAAGCGAACAAGATATCCTTGAATCGGCGCGTCGAGAGTTCCGTTGGGGGGACCCCAGCGCAGACTGATGTCGCACGAGCTAAAATGTACGTTGATTCGCTCGATCGAAAGATCTGAGGGTTGAGGGCTAGGCGACGGATCCGTCGTTCTCTTCACTCGGGCGGCGAGGCCTTTCCAAGTGGTGCTCCCTACCACGTTGATCGCCACGACTTCGATAGCGTAAGTTGTGTACGTATCCAGTTCAACAAGGAGGAAGCTTCTAGCATCGTGGGAAAGCAGAACGGTTTTGTTGTTGAGCCTTTCTTGGACATCGAGGGATGGGTTTTCCGATGTCTTCCACCAGGTGAGTTGGTACCCACTCAGGGGTCCGTTGGTGTCGCTCGGTGCCTCCCACTTGAGCTTAAGGGATGTGCTGTTCACCACGCTCACCTCCAGTTCAGTCACTTTACTTGGCCCTGCGCGGGAAACGAAACAAAGCCAAAGGAGCAAAGGGTTACTTCGTCCAAGAGCAAAGGAAGGATTACTTCGTCCAAAAAAATTTAAAACAAAGAGTTACTTCGTCAAAAAACAAGAACAAACAAAGGGTTACTTCGTCCAAGTACAAGAAAAAAAAAAGTGGTTACTTTGTCCAAGTACAGGAACAAATAAGCAACGGGCTATCTCGTTCAAGAACAGATGTGGTTCTTAAAATGGTCAAGCATACAATAGAGCAACATGCTAACGAGACAAGGGTATTATATGACACCTGTACACCAACGCATGTTTGTGACGCCATATCAGGGAAGTGGCGCATAAAACGGGCATGCGCAGACGATTCGCCAATCGAAAAACGTGTTTGTGTGTGTGTGTGTGTGTTTTTCTGCACATACCCCCAGCTTATTTCAAGGTAGAACACGCTTGAGTTTAAACACATGAGTTGGTGCATTACCACTAAAAGTAATAAACTATAAATAATTCCCGCGCATCTATACACTCCGACGATTTAAGAAACGTAGTAAGGCGCAGCAGGTCCGCAGCATTTTCTTGTCGCTCCGAAACCACGAAGATTGCGGGAGTAGCCAATAAGGACGCCGAACAACGAATAACGAAGCCAAAAGCGTCAAGCTAGTGAGCCACGCCCGGCGATTCTTAAAGAGGAGCTGGAGAACTTTTTAAGAAATCTGAGTTAGGAGCGGACGTCTACAGCTTTTTATCTCGTGAATTCAGTCATCACACCTATCTTGGGCAGAAGTAAACGTATAACCCGCATTTATTTTTTTTAAAATACGTGCAGTGATTGCCGCCAGCCATGCGGCGACCTTCTCTGCCGCCTGTCATCTGTCCAGAGCGTCTTCACGTCATCGTCGACGTCCCCGAGCCAGCTTAAAGTGGAGAGCAAGGGTCATCCGACCCAGCTAACGACGACCCTTTTGCTAGTTTTTTCTCTCCGCTCTCGCCCTTTCCTACTCTCGGCGCGCCGCGACGGGCGGGTCTACGTCGAAATTTTGATGGGCTCTTACGACGCTCCTACTCGTAAGATCAAAAGAAAAGTTAACAAATCATTTTTAAGGTGTCTTCATTAGAACGTTTACTGTTCGTTCGAATTCAAGGACCTCTTCACTTTTCCTTTGAGCTGTCAATGACCATTCATTCCCGTAGAGCACGCTTTGTGCTATTTGAGAGTTTTAGGAAACCGTTCTTGCACATCCGAGTCGGTACGACGGACTCTACGGTACGAAGTGCGCAGTTTGTACCGGAGGGCTATCGTACCGAATCGGGTGTTCAAAAACGGTTTCCTCAAACTATATTGTCAGAACAATGCACGGAGCGCAATATCCAATGTCCCGGGAAAAGTCCAAAATACGATTGGGCTCGAAACGCAACCTGCAAGGGGCAACACGAGCAAGCGAATCGTCATTCGCCGTGTCCCTGCGCAGATTGCACTATAGTCTAGAGCTATTTGCGTTTGGCCTCATCATCGCCGGACCAGTTCCGTAAGACGCAGTGATCGATTCAGGAAATGTTCTGCGGGGAAGTACAGATGCCATGCGCTTTTAGAGTAGCCACAACTAATATTAATAGTGTATAGCCTCGACAGTCACTGACGATCTAAGAAAAGCAGACTGTGGCGAGTCCTGGAGCGTCTGATTATCGCTTACCCTAAAATTCACATAACTCATACCCTACGTTTCCCCCGTCAGTGACTCTAGATTCCCAATATTCTGCAGGAATAACAATCATAGAACTGATGGACTGTAGATAAGAAGAAGGTGCCATAAGGTTGAAGGAACGTTAAGGATAGTGACAGAAAGCGGAGGGTGCACTAAAAATTGTTAAAATGGAACCGGTAAAGGCAGATATCAGAGTTTGTCATCGTAAAGCTTCCAGCAAAGAAACGAAAAGTTAGTAAGCAGGTAGAGAGGTGGAATAAAAAAAAACATATTTTTTAAGTATAATTTGCAGATTTTCTAAGCTTTTTAAAAGAGCTATCAAAGGAGTGAAAATGATGCAAAACCCGCGAGTCTTCAGTGACATAGAGCCACCGTTACTTTTGGGGAGTATGCCGTTGCTTTGAGAAAGGAATGGTGATATAATGAGAGTCGTTAATTTGCTATGTACCGTTGTGTTCTCGGAAGCAGAAATGCCGTATAATATTTGGCCATGAAAAATACAATCTGAAATAACTTCGGGTATCTGAGCCGACATAAGGGATTCCATGACTGATGTTGCTAAATTAGCTTATTAGATTTGATAGAGCGATACCGCCCCCATAAATAGCTAGTGCATTCATACCACCAGTCTGAATCACCCCTCTGCAGGGCGCGGCCCTATACCGTTGCTAGTACACTGATGTGCCGAATAAATAAACATTGAGAAACCAAAATCCAAACTATGCGGAGCACAAGCTCGTCCACTTCTTTTTGCAGGGGTTGTGGTGACGTCAGAAAAACGCCGAGCTCTGATTGGCTCCGATTGAAGGATAGCGGGTAGACCTCGAAGCAACCCGGCTCGAAGTCTACCAGCTATTCTTCTTTGATCAGAGCCATTTAGAGCTCGGCCTTCTGACGTCACCACAACCCCTGCAAAAAGAAGTGGACGAGCTTGTGCTCCGCATAGTTTTGCTATAGCTACACTCCGGTTCACATTAAGTTCGACCGCAGCCATCACTACGATTCAACAAAGCGGCACCAAAAGTGCATCGTCACGGCGCCTTTCGTCTTCTGTGTGTCTGCAATCGCCGTATAAACCAACCATGCACAGTAAAAACAATGTCGTCCTGCCGTCCTGCGTTTTTTTTTTTTTTTTTCTGTGTGTGTTTCGTTTAACCGGTGATTGGAAACACACAGAATACGATCGCCGCGACCATGCACTTTTGACTCTGCTTGAGTGGCTCCATAGGATGGTAGCGTTCGTTGCGGTTGGACTTGCTGTGAAACTGGGTATAGCAAAGAAAAATTAGCCTCGGTCACTACTCTGAATCGCGTGATGGATGACTTCAGGCATTTATGCCAAGAACAGGTGAAAAACTAAAAATGGTGCCGATGTACCCAAGGGGAACTGTAAGCAAATGTTTTAGATGGAGTCGAGAGTAGATTGTGAGAATATTATCTGTGTTCCGATACTCTGCCGGAAGAAAAAATCCTAAATGTCAAACGGGGCCACCTGAAACGATGAAGAGACTAGAGATCGAACCTTCAAACTACAAGAGGCAGTTCCCATATTTTTTTCGAGAAGGAATACAATAAAAGACCCATCGGGTGTTCCCTTCCAAACTCCGATAAACCTTGCATGAGGAACAACAGGCTGGAAGACTCAATTTAATGATTCAATTCAGAGAAACTTAATTGCATGCGATTCGTCATGACTGAACTCTGTTTCACTCGATACGCAACCGAAAGAACGAGCATGTCTGCCGTTTTTGTGTGGATGATCTAAATTGTCGAAGGTACCGTACCACGAGCGCTGCCCAACGATTAAGAAACTGTGATGGCTAGCCACTCAATCAACGAGTTTAACAAACTGGATACTGATGCGACGTGCTTGCCATAATTTAAGCTCATGCAGTTTCCTCAAGCAGGACACAAATTTTAAAGCTAGGTACAAAGACCGAGGTCTGTGCATTTGGTGCGTTGCCGTAAGCTTACTGAAAGAACGTGAAGGTGGAGTTGGAAAGGGAGTAAAGCAAGCTTGGGTTTTATATGCAGGCGTGCTGACTACAAAAACATGCATTGCGAGGTTAGGAAAGGGGAATGCCTGCATATCGGCGAGCGAAGCTTAAAAGCAAGAACTGAACTTTTGAAAGTAATCGTGCTTACCGGATAATCCTGAAACATGATCCGGTGCACAGGCTGAGATGTCTGAGATGGATCAAGAACTTTCCAGTTTCTCACCACGAGGACGCGTCCCTCGAGGGTCTTGTTAAACTTGCGGTCGCATGGTACGTATCATGCTCACGCATGATATGTGCCCGAGCTTGTGAATGGTACTAGCAGGAATAGAGATGCCATGAACGCCCCTATTAACATGACCGACCGTGACCTGGATGAGGATTTCTGCAATGTTAACTGGAATTGAAGTGCGAAGACTATAAACTCTGCTAGATTTATATAGACCGTGCACTGAATAAAAGGAGTACCGTTGCCATTAAAACTATATTCAGAAGTGACAGTCCAAGAAACATACTTTTAGCTGGATATTACCGCGTGCTGTTTCAACAATGCTTAAAACCTGGAATGCACCAGAGATGATTAGCTTTTATGAAAATAAATCATCATTTGGCGAAATGAGAAATCAGACCGAGAAAATGTTCAAAATTGAAAATTCCAGGTTCCCTTTTCTTAATACGAATATTCACGTTGAAAACTGAAAAGAAAGCTTCAAAAAGTAGTGTACCAGTCATTGGATCCTCGCACCTATACTTTGTTCCACCCTAAGCTCACAGCGCAGTGGAAGCGACATGCTCGTTGGACCAGTCATATCTCTTTCTTTCATCACGGGGTTACGCTCCCGCTCATACTGCGTAAAGAGCGGGGTCATGTAATGGAAGTGTGGTGGTTGATTGGTTCGATGGGCACTGTAAGCTTAGGGGTAAACAAAGAACAGTGTTTTGCAAGAGACAAGACTGCGAACGATAGCATAGTTGTGAATGTCTCTCTGTTGACCAAGCACTTCTGCGGCGGATGACATCACAAAGTTGTGGGTTTTGCAGCTTTAGTTTCATAGACAGAAGAGAACTGTATAGGTTTAGCATGCTACAGGAAAGTTTGAGAAGAGCAACTGAGCTTACTTGCAGTTATATAAAAAATAAAAAAAAGATTTGGAAAGGAAAGGGTTATATGCATCTGCTTGAATGGGATAACTGCTTAGCATGGACTTCTTAAAAGAAACTGCAAAACGATTCTGTCAGCTTAAATGGCAAATGCGAAATTTATTTCAATGAAAACTAAATGGACGTCGTGGGAGACGGAGTAGTGCTGGACTGACCTGTTGGCGGTGTTTCGAACCTAAGAACACCGGGGTCCCCGCACTGTAACTTGGTCGATCGAGGTAGGCAGGCGGACACTCGAACTGTATACTGAGTCCAGGGTTTTAGCGCGTCGAAGCTAACATCGGTTCCGTTAACGTTCTGGCTGAAGATCAGCGTGTCATCTTCTGTTAAGTAGAGGGCCACGTTGTACAAGACACTGTATTGTTCTAGTCCGGTGACTCTGCTCCACGACAGGGTCACGGCGCTCCCGTTTGAAGCCGTGTAGTTCAAGTTGGCCACAGTCGGTATCGGTGGAGCCTCGGTGGCGACGAACTCTGTGGCTTCGTTCCCTTCGATGTACCTGCCGTCGTGGAGAACATAGGCCCTCACCACCACGCCATAGTCTGCAAGATTCTCCAGTCCTTCGAAGGTGAACGTGAAGACGCTTTCGGACGTGTTCGAATACTGGCACTTTCCTTCCGCGAGAATTCCGCGATTTACTTCGATCTTGCAGATATGAACGTAGTATCCTTGGATAGGAGGGTCAAACGTTCCGTTAGGAGGTGCCCAGTTGATCACCGCTTTCGAAGAAGTAGCATTAACCTTCACAGCGGTTGCCGAAAGTTGAGTAGGAGGTGGGCAGGGCTCGGGGTCGGTGATTCCTTCAGCGTGAGCCGCAGCTCCATCCCAAGTACTATTGCGGTCGCCGTTGATCCTGGCTACCTGGACGGCGTAGGTCTTGTAAGCCTCGAGGTGCGTAATAGTGAAGCTGGACGCCTCTCCTGGCAGGAACACAGTTTTGTTGTTGAGCCTGTCTTCAATGTCGTCCGTCGAGGTGCCTCCTGTCTTCCACCAGGTCACTTGGTAACCCTTCACCGGTCCGTTGGGATGGCTCGGTGGGCGCCAGGTGACCCCGAGAGCTGAGCTGTTGAGCGCTTTCACCTGGAGTCGGGTGGGCTGGCTCGGACCTGGTGCGGAGGGACATAGAGAACATGACAAAGACACGTTGTTGCACAGGTGTGCAACAATTGGGCATTTCAATTGCGTCATGTTGACATACATGACGTTTGTGCTTAAGAACTTATACATCGACGGTCGTGTTCGTGACGTCACGTCAAGGATGCTACTGTATATAGAATGGAAAATACGTAGACGCTACTTTCTCGCATAAATAGGTTCTTGCGGGTGCGCAGTTCCCATACTTTCTTTTTTTTTATAACAGAACGAGCTGTTTACATAAGCCATTCCAATAATCTCATCCCGCGCGCTGCCATCTTCGTCTACTGGGCTGTGAAACACGTTCTGAAAATATGCAGTAGCTATCTTCTGCAAATAATCAGACGCCGCGCATGTGTCCACAGCAACGTGACCCGGCATTTTTTTGTGTTGGTGATAAACGCCGGAAAGGTTTATGGTAGTGGCAGTAAAACTTGGAAAGGAAGTTTCTGGATGTTTCAGAGGGGCAATCGATGTTTCGCTGAGAATGGTCATGATTACACTTAGCGAAGTGTTGGTTGCCGCTTTCAGGGGCTTCGTTTTTAAGCATGTGCGCGTTTTGGAGAGCAGCGAATGTTATCTGTTATTATCTACGTTACATGTTTTCGAGCTAAAAAAGCCGAATTATTATGAGCCCTCATCAAGGTGTTTGAAGATGTGAGCTGGGAAAGTTTTGTCAGGCGCATTGTCTTGCCCTGAGAAGATATCTATAAGGGAATGTGACATTTTCATGTCCCATACTCCTCAACCGGTAACAAACTATAAAAACAGTGCGATAAAAATTCGGGAGACGTCAATCCCGGTAATGGTATATATAGAACTCCAAAAAAAATTTATTTAATAAGCATTAAATTATACAAAGTACTACGAACAGGTATTAAACACGCAAGCAATATACCCTATACTACTTTAAGGCCCAGCTAAACGTAGGGACCAGGAATACGACTCCCCATGGCGTGCACCGTGGCGGAGGAGTCCGCCATAAAAAAAAAGTAATAAAATACGAGCACCGAACGCCGTAGAGATAACATCTGCAATCGGAAAGGCTGGTTCACACATTGACATTTGATTGCGACCGACTGCGTTATGAGCTCTCGTGAATTGCTACGACGAGAGATCATGCTGGTGCCATATATCGAGTAGCCCTTGAAACACTTCCAATCCGCGCATATTTCCTACATTTTTACGCATCATTATTTGACTGTGGGCTTGAAATAATTCCGACATGATAAGCAGCCCTTTCTCACCAATAGCGCGTAGATTGCATTCCGCAAATACTGCAAAATATTCTGCCTAACCCATACGGAGATGGAAGTGTTCCAGAGCTACTCGATAGATGGCGCCACTGTATTCTTTCGTCAGAAGCGGTAACAGCCGGTCGCAACGTAGTCGATCACACTCACACGCGAAGGTGTAAATGAGTTTTCAGAAATGATTTGGCTCCGCCGACTCACTGCTGGGGGCCGTTGTGACGGCAACAACCGCGACGTCTCCTTCTGCGGTTTCTCCGTTGGGCAGCGAGTTGAAGGCCCGGACTTGGACCTGGTAGTTCGTGTACGCCTCGAGCCCGTAGAAGCTGTGGGTCAGCGTCTTGCTGTTGAGGGTCTTGTACCTCGAGATGAGTCCCATCGGAGGACAGGTCCCCAGCTCTGGACAGATGCGGATCCGGAAGCCGTCCAGGGGACCCACCGGGTCCCGAGGCATCTGCCAGGAGACGTCGACGGTCGTCGCTTGCTGCTTGGTGACCAGCAGGCTGGTCGGACGGCTCGGTTCTGGAGAGATTGGGAGTTTAGAGGACGAGTTAATTCACACCGGTTTATTAAACTCGCACAATAGGCGATTCCTATAATCCTCGAAGTCCCTGAGTGCGTACACCTTTCCAGCGCTTAACGCTCGGGCGAAAGGCAGAGTCACTGGGCTCTGCACGTATGGCCAGAGTTTGATACTTGGTAATCTGAGCGCATGCTCAGATTACGTTCTACGCCCAGCACACAAAGATGGCAATGTGCAAAAGCCGAATGATGAAATGTCCTATACTAGTGCACAGCGATGCACTCGAAAAACCATTTGTTGGTCTTACTTCCGTCAGTGCAGTCAATGAAGGAGGCCAGCGGTATGGTGACCCAAGGGCCGCCCAGTCTCAGCGGTAAAAAAAGTTGTCAATCTCTTTTGACACTAAGGTTGCGTAACAATCAGAGCATGATACCGATCGTGCTTATTGTACCGTTATGTATTTAGTGAACAACGACAGACAGATATATCGACGTGGCTATAAAATGCGCCGGTCAGCTGAACTGGTTTCATTCGCTGGTCCGTGATGCATGCTCAAGTGCGGCCGCTGGTATCGCAAACTCACTGGCTGATACACTTCTCATTGGCTGACCTGATGAAAGAAAGACAAATAAACGATAGGTGTTCCAAATGCATCGCGGCGAAGTATACAGCGTGAGAAAGAGATAACTTGTTTTGTTGTTGGAAAGAACTGGGCCCTATGTCCAGGGCGTTCTAATACAGCGAACAGCTCATTTTAACTGGAACCCCAATAGCAATATTTAGCACGCATCTCTCCTAGCGTATTTGTGCGTGGGCAGCTGACACTATCAAGGGCCGATTGACTATGGTCCTGCCTTCTAATGGCCGACTCATGCTGGTCATCAGCCAAGAGACTAGACAAGAACTGACCTGCAGCCCACGTCCTCCCCGTGACGGTGGACACTTGACTGTTCAGCCAGGGTCCAGTGAACTGCACCAGGGCCTTGATCATGAAGGTGTACGTCGTCCAGGGGGCCAGCGGCGAGATGACCGCCTCGCGCACGTTCCCGACGTCGGCGTTAAAGCAGAACCTGTTGTCCTTTGTGCACCAGAAGAGACGGTAGTGAGACGGCGTCACGTCCGGATTCACTGGCGCTTCCCAGGAAAGCTTCACGGATGTGGCGCTCAGAGCCACCACCTTGAACGGCTGGGGCCCGGCCGGAGCTGCGAAGACAGTTATAAAGTCGCTGTCAACTTAAGAGATACAGGGCGTGGTTTACTATGTCCACCTTCTTGCTTCGTGAACCCAGACCAAACCAAAGGTTCTAAGAAGGACCGACATTCTGCCACCGTAGTTGCTCAAAAATGCGTCATTATGAAGATTTTAGAAAATAGCTATGCTTCAAAGCAAGTACCACAAAACATGCGACCTTTATCTGCAAAGACCTGTAATGCATGAAACGCGGTATTTAAGGGGCCATCGATTAAATTTGTTGAGAAGACATTAAACAATTGTCTCGGTGGAGGGGGGGAGGGGAGGAGGAACTAACGATTCCGCGCTGTCAATTTTCCCGGAAAATATAGCGCGGAAACTGCATTGGTCTCGTGATGTCAGTTTGGGTGGCACCATTTTTCTGGCGAAATTTAGCGGTCAAATTGAATTGGTGTTTGGGTCACGTGACGTCAATTTTCTCGCTAAATTTAAAGCGATCGATATGCACGGACGGACGGACGAACGAACGTTTGGGATCGAATGGTTCCGTTAAAAAGTATTAAAAAAAATGAAAGACGTTTACAATCCCCTGTAACGCCTAATTAGAGCGCAGCTCTTGAGAAGAAGGAGGGAAAGGTATGGAGAGGAGGGTATGCCCCTCCTTCTCATCCGTACACTCCCCTCCCCTTCTCCTGCTCGCCTCACATTTAGGGGAAAATTTTCCCGCTAAATTTAGCGAGGAAAGATTTCCGCTAAATTTAGAGGACAGTTTTTCCCGCTAAATTTAACGGGGAAAATTTTAAGCGAAATTTAGCGGGAAAATGTTCCCCCAAATGGGAGGCGAGCAGGAGAGGAGGAGGGGAGGGTACGGATGAGAAGGAGGGGCATACCCTCCTTCTCATCTAAATTTCGCGGGGAATATTTTCCGCTGAATTTAGCGGCGAAATTTTCCCACTAAATTTATCGGAGAAAATGTTTCGCTAAATTTAGCACGGAAATTTTGCCACTAAATTTAGCGGTTAAATTTACCCATAATGCAACGCGCGGTGACGTCATCTGTGACGTCACATGGTCACCGTCGTGACGTAATCATGAGAAACGTCCCATAATGCACTGCGCGGTTACGCGCAGTGCATTATGGGACGTTTCTCATGATGGGACCACGACCAGTACAAACCTTAATAAACTTTTTTTTATTGCAGAAGAGAGCAATTCGATTCGTAGCCAATGCGTCGTATTACGCACACACCGATCCACTTTTCTGTAAGCATAAAGTAATAAAAATACAAGAATATTACAAATATAAGCTTGCGACAGTATACGCGGCATCCCTTAAGTATTTTAACCACCCATTACTGCGGTTTTCTAGACTAAGTGTTAAAAATACGGTATACGGAGTACGTAGCGCCGGGTCCCTGAGAGTACCTCGTCCTAGAACAAATTATGGGCTTCAAAGTGTTACAGCATACATTGCCAACATTACTGAACTTTTTAAGAGACCACCATGTCTGTCTTGATGCACTAAATAAGAAAACAATACGCACAATATTCACTTCTAACGTTTAAACTTTTTTCTCCTGCATAGAACTGCCTGTTTTGTTTTTTCGCCTCTAAAATGTTTCTGTTAACGTTTTTTGTCTGCCGATCTGCCGATAGGGGGCAGGGGCTTTGTCAAGCTGCACATTTTGCAGCTTTTTTCCCTGTCTCCGTCACCCATATGTACAAATGGGAGTAAATAAATGAATTGAAAAAATGGGTGTCTAAGAGCTGCGCTCTAAAACGAGACAAGCCGCCAGGCACTCACAGAAAGGCATGGTGATGACGCTGTCGTTAACCACGTCGCTGTAAATCCTGGCGTTGTCGGTCGGCAGGAGGTTGAAGGCGGACACGGAGAAGACGTACTCGGTCCAGAACTTGAGACCCGTGACGGCTTGGGTGCCGGCGTTGGACTGGAGGATCTCGCGCTCGCCCACGTTCGAGCCGTAGCAACGACGCTTGGGGCACCAGCGCAGGACGTAGCCCGTGATCGGGCCGTTGGGGTACTTGGGAACGCTGATGAGCACGTTCACCTGGCTGGTGGACACCTTGGTGAAGGTCATCGAAGGGCTGCTCGGGTCTGCGGAATTCGTTGGGGTCGTCTTCCGTCACCTTCGCTTTACGTACACTTCTTCGCTAAGGTATACCATGGCACTTGGCAAGGAGCCTTCTAGAAGCCGCGGGTCACATCTGCTAATACATCTTGCAAAAGACAGACTCCAGACACTGTCTGATATCTTTGTCCATGTACGATGGTTCTGTCATCGAAAACTGACTGTAGACATGTTCGACGCACACATTTGTATAAAGCAAACGTGCTGCGGACCATGTTCAATGCTTGTCCGCGGGTAATTCAGTCATCATGTCTACGGCGAACACCGTGTCATTACGAGCAGTGTGACTCTGACTTGAGTGCTATATTCTGCTTCGCTTCAAGTCCATCCAACGCTATACCGTCCGATGCCTAGGCAATCGAGCAGCCCCAAAAGTGTGACGTCACGACGGCACTCATAGTCTTTCTGCGTTTGCTGTCGCCGACTAAACTGAATCAGTCACGAGCACAGTGAATTCGCCGCGATCCGGTGTCGTTTTTTTTTTTTTTTCTTTTTCGTGCGTGATTGGTTTAGTTGGCGATGGCAAACATCCACAAAAACGACGAACGCCGTGCCGATGCGCTTTTGGCGCTGCCTGATTGGCGCCCTCAGATCGTAGCGTCGTGATGCGGTCGGACCTTAGTTCGTCTGCTTCTTTCCAGGAGTTGTGGTGACGTCAAAAGGCCGAGCTCCGATTTGTTCTGAATAAAGGATAGTGGGTAGACCACAAGGCAGCTTGCTTTGAGGTGTACCCACTATCGCTCAATCAGAGCCAATCAGAGCACGGCGTACTGACGTCACCACAACCCCTTCAAGAAAAGCAGACGAACTTGGTCTCCGCATACGCGCGAAGAATTCTGGAGCGTCTGTACTTTCACGCAATATCCCTCGCGGGAGCTAATCACTGTAGTGTCTATGGACGGAGGAGCGAACTCGCCGAATGAGGAGGATGGGACTATGCTTATAGACCTAAAAGATTTCAGTCTGCATTGTGGCGCTCAGCAGGATGTTTTACCGTGCTCAGTAGCATAGCCTCCTTCATGCTCACAAAGCCTGGCAGTTCGTTGACGGAGCCATAGAGTGCCCGGTCGCAGATTTGGAGCGCGAGGGTCTGGTAGCACAGAGCATCAAAGAGCCATTTCTCGGGAACCTGGACGTCAGCGCACAGTTCTTGCAGCGGCGAGGAGCCCAAACACTTGTTCGCTCGGGAAAAGTGTGTTTCGGCGTCTCGCCGCAGCGGGGCGCCAGTCACGTGGCTCTCCTCTCATCCGTTGTCTGCCGCTCCATTTTTTCTATTTCGGCGGACGCTTCTCGTGGCGATTCGCCAGGCTCTGTCAGTATATAAGGGTCTACTATGTCAGTACCCAAAGCAGGCTGAATTTTTTTTTGTTGATATATTAGCATATTTTTGTCCTGTCATTGGCCGAGCTCGCTCCGTAGATTGTAGTGATTGACTTAATTTTCCAAGTACTTTGCGAGGAAATAAAAAACACCGATTTTTTTCTTTTTTCTTAGAATGTATATGGTATTCCAGTGAGCAACATCTCAAGAAACGCGGGGGCGTGGCGTGTCTCCAGCATCTCATCGCTCGGCAGCAGCCAATGAAATTGCGGCATCATGGCGCGTTTACATTGGGGGATTCGCGGGAGGATCCGCGGAGGCGGAAAGCGGAATGTCGGAGCCGGGTGGCGCAAGTCGACTCGTCGCTGGCGAAAAAATCTGGGATCAGTCCGGGACCCATATCCAGATTTTCCACCAGAGATGTCGGTCGATTTTCGCCACCCGGCTTCAAAATCCGCTTTCCGCCTGTGCGGAAAGCGGAAAGGAACGGAGGAACGGCGGCGTTCCTCCGTTCCTCTTAAAAGGAACACAGTTCTATATAGGAACGCTGTTCCTTAGAACGCCGTCCCGTACAACACTGTACTTTGTGTCATTTAGGAAAAGCGGGGCTGCGGGTTTAGTCGTCATGACTTGACGCAAGGCACTCACACGTCGGCAAGGTGAAGTCCTTCACGGACGCTTCGGCGCCATACAGGTACTTTCCGTTGTCCACGTTGTAGGCGGACACGTACACCTGATACTCCTTGTAAGGCTCCAGCCCCGTGATCCTGTAGCTTCTGCATCCGCAAGAGAGAACAATCTTTCGAGTCCAGGCCGTAGCAGGAAAACCCCGTCTACACCCGACATCTTATGATGCGGAGGCCGTAATTTCTGAATTTATGACGTCACCTAAAGAAGGCCAGTGCACGGCACAGTTTGAACACGAGTGCTGTTTCAGCATACAGCGTGAGATCGTGCTTTCCCTGAGTGAACACGAGTCCCTGCGGAACGCTGACGCAGCTCTCGTGCCCAAAACTGTGCCTCGCGCTGGTCTTCTTTAGGTGACGTCATAAATTCGGCACTACGGCCTTGGCATCTAGGAGGTGTTGCTGCTTAACGCGATGTTGTTTGAGAAACCTTGGCTACCGATCGATTACCGCGTTTCAAATTTAAATGCTCGTTTATTTTTAGCTGTTCGCTGATTTAAAGAATCTGAAATCTTTCTATGACCAGATAAGAACCACTGTTCCATTCAATGGATCGTACTGGTGAAAGGGCGGCATATCGCTGGTATCCAGGCACCTAAACAATTGACGGCCCCGTAAACTACGAGTAGTCGACGCGCCCTGCCAGATGTCCCAGGAATGAGACTCGCTGATTGGACGAAAACATCAAGCAAATTGGATGACGTACGGTTGCGCCCAAGGGTCGCACCGACATCGGGCTAATTATGATTTTATCTTTCGAAGAATGGCACGGGTCTTGCGTTATCTGGGTGTTGCTTCATATCGCTTGAAAGCATGATTCCCTCTATCGAGCTCTCTCCTATATTCTATCTTTAATCACACTTTTTCTCAGTGGTCTCGGTTCCAGAAGCTGGGATATTCGTGGAATGATTGGATACGTTCCCATTATGACCGCAATCCGTATATATATATATATATATATATATATATATATATATATATATATATATATATATATATTTTTTTTTTTTTTATTTTGCATTAACACGCCGGTGCTTGATTTTTATCGCGCAGAGTCGTCGACGAGACCTTACAATGATATACCAAAACCATCACAATCCTTATCTTAGTATCGCTACTTGATAAAAAAAAAGTACAGAAGCTTGATAATCTTGAAGATAACCGCGGAGCACGGAAGTCGTTGAGTGCCTCGCAGAAATTGACGTCAAGTGACTTTAGATAACATGACATGGACGCGTCCCCCTAATTTTTCCGCTTATTTTAGCGGGGAAATTATAACATCAGCGACACCAATGTCCCCCCTAAACTAAGCAGAAAAATTGACATTAGTTGCAAGCAATTTTCCCACTCAATTTGGCGGGGAAATTGACGTGACGGTTCTTTGTGACGGATCTCGTGTTAAAACGAAGTTTGCACCGATTCACGTGCCCTTCATCTACCCTCACAAGGTCGTCCCCCAGGTCAAACCCAAAACTTGATGTTTCCTCTCTCTCGTACATTCCGCCGCCTTCGTTTATAGAAAAAATCGTAAGGGTGCAGGCGAGCTGGTGAATATTAACCACGTTCAAATTAACCTGAGACTGGGGTAGAGAAAGAACATCAAAGCGTAGAAGGGACAGAAAATAGACCAGGACGACGTCTCAAACTCAGCTCTTCTCTAGTCTCAGTTTCTTCTCTACCCCAAGTTTCTTCCCCAGTCTCAGGTTAATTTTAACATGGTTAACCTTCGTTTATCTTCCGATTGCCCTTCTGCATATAATATCTCAGGAATGCGTTACTATGCGCAGGCATCGGGGGGTACGTTGATAGCTCGATTCCGTCTAATCATCGGCTTTTACGGCGACAGCTGCTAGTGGAACCCCCCCCAGAGAGTTTGCGTGGTCGTTCTTCGCGAAAACTCCCGGTGACGTCCTCGGTCACACGATTGCTCCCAGCAACTACCGTCACCGCTGACTTTCTAAGAGTTTCTATCGTGAAAATCGTCAGGATCGAACTCAAAATGGCGGAGCAATAGTGCGTTTTAGTATTGCGTATACGAGCCAACGCAGGCGCTGTGCCTTTGCGTTGCGCTCTCCACGCTGCGCATGCGCGAAGCCGCCATGCTCCAATCCAAGGCCGCAATCTCGGGCTCCGCGCACGCGCACTGTGGAACGCGCAACGCTAACGCACAGGGCTTCCGTTCGCTCGTATACGCAATACTACAACTCACTATTGATAGCAAATTACGCAAATTCACTCGGATTTCTTTTTCTTTTTAGCGCGTAAAAGGTGCAGTACTAGTCACACGCAACAATCAACCTATAGTTAGGTTTCAGTTAACTCTTAAATAACCCACGACGTTGAGAAGTGCTAAGATTGCGAACCAATATGGTTTAACTTTCAACCCCCCCCCCCCCCCCCCCCCCCAAGAAAAAAAGGAAAAGTTATTAGAATAGTGCTCTACATCTTGAATCGGTTCTCCACTAACGGCGGATTAAAAGGCAGTGACAGCGTATGGCACTCAGGGACGACATAAGTACGAAAGCATGCATCTTTCGACATAATATTGAGAACGGTATTTAAACCGAATTACGCGTTTCTAAATAAAAAGCAAAACAAATTACGGCAGCACTTTGGACATATATGTACCTGACAAAATCTTCATACCTAGAATACTTTTTTTTTTGTAAATCTCGGCGCAATAACTTGTATAAGGCAAAAAAAAAAAAAATTTTACCGCAATTTTTTTTTTTTATGCCGATGCGTTTTGCATGTGTATGGCGATTCTGCTCCAGTATACGCTATGCTGCGATTCACGGCGAGCGCAGCCAACGGCGCCAGTGCAACATCGCCAAAAATGCATTATCACGACGCTCGTCATCTTTGCGTGTTCGCTATAATTCGTGCAGACCCATCACGCACAATTAATGCGCCGCAATTCCTTTTTTTTTTTTCTTTTGTGCGTGACAATAATTTGTTTGATGTGTCTGTTTTGCATGCCAGTTGTCTTCATTTTGGGCTGTACCAGCAGTGTAATTGCTTCGATGCTGCACGCTGTTTCCGTAGACGAGCAAATGCCCAATAAATTCGTAAGACGACTCGCCTGCTCTTGTTTGCCCCTTCGAGGTGTTCCTCGGTAAACGAAGTGCACTGCGGCGCGTAGCACCAGCGGATCTTGTAGCCGTCCAGGGGTCCATTGAGAACGGTAGGAAACCTCCAAGATATGTCCAGCGACGACGGACTCTGCTTGTCCGCAAAGATCTGGTACGGCGCGCTAGGCGCTACGAAAAAACAAACAAAACAAAAAACGAATTCATATAAATGAAGTAGTAACAACTTAGTGTAACAAAGTATACTGATCTGTCCAACCAACGAACCAGACCATACGAACATGTATATACGCCTCATATATAAATTCTTAAGTGCTTATTAGACAAACCATGTACGAAATGCATCTCTATTCAATAGGGTACCATTTCTCCCGGCCGACCAGGACACGAAAAAAAGTAATATTATACGCGGTATAAATATTGGCAGCGACCTCCACCTGCACAGTGTTATAATGCGTAACATTCAGTATGAAGTGGTCGCTTAAATGTTTTGTATACGACATTAAATAATCGTCTTAGGGAGTGAAGAACACATTGTATTTGTTTTTTTTAATCGACATCACGTGACCTGATGTCGCGGAAACGTGACGCCAGGGTGTCATAATTTATACACTCTAAAAAAATGCATTGCGTCTACCTTACCGCAAACCACTCGAAAAACAGTTTGCGGTGTGACACTATAGCATGACGTAATCACGTAAAACAGGGCTCTCAAACACGCGGCCCGCGACTCGCTGGGACGCGACTTGAGGGAAACCGCGGCTGTGAGCCCCCGTTCCTACCCGTTCCCTTGTCTCTCAAGCGCTTGAAATGGCACGCGCCATTAAGATCTTCTGTCACCGATTCGTTTCCGCTCGAAGCCTATAGATATGCTCCAATTATATGTATACTATTCTGTTCTTATTTGACTTGTCTTTTGTTTTAACGTTTGCTTCGCAGCTTTCTGTCATGTTAACCCTCTGTATGCCAATTCCGCTACTAGGCTGCAAGTGCGAGCTTATTGCTCGGCTGCACGAACCCTCGCCCGGCAGGTACAACTTCCAAAGATAAAGGTATGAGCTGACTCTCGTCTTCGGGAAATATCACTGTTAAAACGAGGGTGTTTTCGCAGACGGCTGCTGTAAATATCGCCAGCAAAGCAAGAACTGCCGTATGAAGATTTTTTTTTTTTTTTTTGAGACACGTTGAGTTCGATTAATTCGCACGTGAATTGAGCAACGGGGCGACAGTATGCTTGCACTCTTGATCTACTCAGAAATGCCACCATTTAGCCGGAGCGGTGCCAGTTAAATTTTTGTTATCAAATCGGGCGGGGGTCCAAAATAGTCCTATACCGAGCGCAAGTTCGTCTGCTTCTTTTGCAGGGGTTGTGGTGACGTCAGAAAAACGCCGAGCTCTGAGTGGCTCCGATTGAAGGACAGTGGGTAGACCTCAAAGCAAGCTGCCTCGAGGTCTACCCACTATCTTTCAATCAGAGCCAGTCAGACCTCAGCGTTGTGACGTCACCACAACCCCTGCAAAAGAGGCAGACGAACTTGCGCTCGGCATCAACAAATCAGGGCTAAAGATGGGCGAAAATTGCAAATGTACAAAAAGGCAGAGAGCAAGAGATCCTTTTTCTGTGAAATATCTCGAAGTACCTTACGACTTCCGGATTTTAAACGGGACAAAACCCACCTGCCGGCGACGTTGTGTACTTGGTGCACACGGGAAGCGAGTAGTTGGAGTCGGCGCACTGGGTCTGGACGCAGAAGGTGTAGTTTGTGTAGACGCTGAGGCTCGGCACCTGCCTCACGTATCCCCCGAGAGACTTGATGCACGTCTTGGGAACGACGCTTTCGTTGCAGTACTCCGTCACGTCATTTCGGTCGTTGCACACGCAGTGGATCGGGTTGGAGATGTACCTTGTAGAGGGAACAACCAACGCGCGAGTAATGAACGCTCGCTCGATGAGACGATCTGTCGGGATCGCTTAGGAAGCGATTCAAAAGAGACGCGACTGCGACCGGTACCACAGACAAGGCCACGCGCATTACTGATCAGGTGAAGATGAGGATAGGGTGCAAGCTTTATCTTCGATGTTATGGTGTTGACCGAAGCTTTTAAAAGCCGCGATCGCACGTACGTAACCAGTGTTGCGGAGTTACCACTCCGGAGTTGGAGTGATTCCGGAATCATTCCGCATTTTCACGACCCCGGAATGGAATGGGAATGGAATGGCACCAACGTTGAAGGGAATAGAATGGGAATGGAATTAGGTGCCTTTTGCCTGGAATGGAATGGGTCCCGGTTCTTTATTTCATTTTATATCTTTTTTTTTTTTTGGAGGAAGAGGGGGGGGGGGGGGTTACATTTAGCTAAACCGAGCAAGTCAGCGAGTCAGTTGCTCAGAAATAAAATGAGCAGCGGGAAACTGTTAGCCCATGTGGAGACTGTACGCAAAGAAATGCAATACTAAAAACAAGCGTCAAAGCAAAGAGCAGAGAAGGGAGGGGGGGGGGGGGGGGTGGCGGTGGCGCCTTTCGTGGACGCGCAGACGACGGGCTTCACACGTGTTACACGAGGGCGAAACAAGAAACCAAGCGCCAAGCAAACGAAACAACGGGAGCGGCAAAGGATAAAACCGCCATGCACGGCTACTCATCATTCTTTTTAATTGTCTTGCTTTTTTTTTTGTGTGTGTGTGTGTTTTTTTTTTTTTTTTTTGCTACGGCATGGAGCGTGCATGCGCGTGCACACTGCACAGACTGAGATCTGTGAGCGGGAGCCGACCCGTAACTCGCAGAGCTCTGATAACTCGTTGACTCGCACGCCGCCGAAAGATGATCAGTTATTGTTTTCTTATAGTTCGAGGAGCGTTGTTTAGGAGCTGGCCAACCCTGCTGCCTTCCACGTTCATTCGCGCGCATTCCTTTCCAGTGCGAAATGTGGGTTTGCTTTGGCATTATAACAAAGCGAGATTCACTTCTCTCTTTTCCTCTTGCGCTTTGCTCCGACGCCTTTTTTTTTTCTCTATACTGCATTTTTACGTGGAAGTCTGCCTTTTACTTGGTCTTTGTTCCGTTTTCTGTTTTCTGTGTTAAATGTTTTACATTCAAATGGGTTAGGGTTACAAGCAAGCTAGATGATGCCCGCTCATTTCCTTTGACTTTAGTCTCTGCAAACCTTTGTTTCACCTTGTAATGGACCTCTTCGGACGCTACGAGTCACCCCAGGCAATGCAGCACCGTGAACTTAGTAAAATCAGTGCTTTTTTGAGGCATTTAGCTTTTTTTAGCTTTTTTTTTTTTTTTTGCAAATGTCTATGCGTTGATTATGTCAGCTTTATGCTGCTTATGCCGGCAAACAGAATGTAGTTGTCAAGTGCCAATTTTTACGTTTAGGAATCAGAGGACTGGAATGGAACGATTCAGCCATTCCAGGAATCGGAATGGGCCCAGTGTCCCCATTCCTAGGAGTTGAAAGGAATGGAATTATCGAAGACTCCAATTCCCGGAATGGAATTGGAATGGAATGGGGGTGCCCATTCCGCAACACTGGTACGTACTGCTCATAACATCGTGCGAAAGGCACGCTGTTCACTGTAGACACGATGACAGAACTCTCTGCTGACGCGCCTCATGCATATTCGAAGCACGCTTTGCTTCAGTCTGGTCCGAACATGTCCGCATACTGTTTTCGTAAGACCACCTTACAAAGAATGAATGAAGGGATGAATTTTAATGGCTTTACCCTTTGTAACTGGCGGTAGCTTGCGCCACCTAGCCGCCTAGGAAGAAACACGCCTCAGGCAGTGTTTGCAGACTGTCTTTTGTATGGCGTATCAGCTGCTGACCGCGACTTTTCAAGGCGGTATGCTGCGATGTATCCCAAAACCCAACCATTGGTTATTAGTCTAACGGGTTCAGCCAAATATACCGGAAAACTCCTGCCAATTCATTTTCCTGTAGAACATGAAAAGAAAAAAAAAAGCCAACCACGACCAACAGTAGAAGGATCGCTGCGAATGACGCGGTACGCAGAATACGATTAAGATCTGAGAAGTGCGATGTGTGCGCAGGGACAAGAGGCAAATATTCCTATAGCTTTGCGTCATTTACTGGGATCCTTTCGTTGTTGTTTGCCGTGGTTGGTTGTTTCCATGTTTTGTAGGAAAGTGAACTAACATAGTTTCTTTTTTTTTTTTTTTCGAGTGAAGGGAAACGAGTATTTGTATCGTGACCTCAGTAGCCGCGTGATCTTCAGTGGCACAAAGAGTGGGCGCCCTTTTGCCATTCTGAATGTGCACGGCCGTTAGGGAGCGATGAGGTTCCGCTCTCTTCTCATTGGCTGCACCAATCATCGGACTTTCTTCAATCAGAGCATAGCGATGCATGCGGAACCTTCGGAGAGTGTACAATCGTATGCGCAGTACATATATATATGCAATTCTGACTTACTTGGTCACGTCCCATCGCAAATCGGCGGTATTGACGGCCAACTTCTGAACACTGAGATTCGACGGCCCTGGGCAAGTGGTAGTCTGTGCAAAAACGGGTATAAATTAATAAAAAAAAAAATAAAGACGTTTGCAATTCTCTGTAATGCCGAATTAGAGCGCAGCTCTTGAGCAGGAGGAGGGGAGGGTACGGCGGGGAGGGTATGCTTCTCCTCCCCTGCTCCCCCATCATTTAGCCTCCCCGCTACATTTAGCGGGAAAATTTTTGCTAAATGTCCCGCTAAATTTAGCGGGGAAACTGAATTGGTGTATAAGCTACGTCACGTCAATTTCCCCGATAAATATTAGCGGAAAAAATTTCTCCGCTGAATTTAACGATAAAATTTCCCCGCTACCTTTAGCGGGGAAACGTCCCATAATGCAACGCGCGGCTACGCTGACGCCGACGGCGACGCCGCTCAAGCCGGAAACTGACGCCTACGAGCTGCGCTCTAACGAAAACGACACTTTTGTACATTCAGTGTACATCACTGTTTTCTCTTCAAGCAAAGCCATGGCATATGTGCAGACTAGCACAAAACATGCACATTCTTGTTCCAGTATTTATAATTTATCTCTTTCGAAAGGCAAGCGACGACTGTTAGAAGGTCCAAATCACTGCACAACGGTGGAACAACTGATACCGCGGAACGCGCAAGCCATTACAAAAGGTGTTCATCAAATATAACTAGTTGCTGAGAGCTCAAGAAATGAAGAGAGCGGCTTGTTTTGTTCGCGTTTCGTTCTTCGTGATTAGTTTCTCTGAGTTTTTATCGTCCAATGGCGCCGAGCGATGATACGATGCTAAAATACACCACGCCCTGCGTGACCATGAGGCCCTGATTATGTAGTATACGTTAGTTCAACGCAACACCTTGTCACGCACTCTTAGTGATGGAGGATGAGGTCACCGATTCGGCAAACTAGATGCACCCGTAATCGACGCCACTACGTCAGCGATTTAATTTCTATTCTTAGGTGTACTGTAACAAGCTGCCCAGCGGGACGACGATATGTGTGATGTTGATATTCGAACCCTTCCAGTATCGATGCCGTGTTCGCGAACACTGCGTCGCATAGTGCACGCCTAGAGTCACATTGCCTGAATCTCTAATTTAGCGGGGAATGTGTTTTATCAGCCGATTTCGGGTGGCACTCAGCTGGTCGAACGACGTTTTAGCGAACGCCGACTTTTTATGGAAAGACACTTTAGCGAACGGCCGGCCGCCGCGACGCAACGTTCACGGATGGGCTAGGTAAGTTATAATTATTGTAATGAGTCGCGGCGTGAACGCAGGCCGGGGGAGGGGGAGTTAACACGCGCGCCCCAGTTATTCGCTAAAACGTGGATTCGCTCAAACGACCGCTCTTCGTTAAAACGTCACTCGCTCATGTGATGTGGACCCGCTGATTTCCATCGACTTCTGTAACGTTTGGCTGTAAGAAAAAACTGACACCGAAAAGCGTTACGTCCATAGACAACAATATAAAAAAAATTGCAGGAGGACGCTTAAGCTTCGCCTTTAAGAGCGGAACGCGTAGCTGCATATAAATCCCCGCTCGTTCCCAAGTCGTCGGTAGCGCGTCTGGCTCCTACCGAAGGGTCGTGGGTTCGAATCCCGCCTCCGTCTAAGTTCTTCCATTTTTTTTTCTCTCAATAAGGTAAATGAATTACTTTATGAAACGAATTCATTAGAGACATGGGGCGACTTTTAATTTGCCTTGTCACGTTTTAATCGTTTTCATTCCCGTGTCCTCGCGTTCCACGTGAGCGTTGTGGGTCACTTGAAATACCCGCGCGAGGCCCAGTGACGCCATGACCTTGTCGACCAATCCTGGATGTTCCCAACGCCACCGACGCCGGCTTTTCTGCTACGCGAGCTCCCTTAAAGCTGTCGCTTTGAAAGACTGCCGTCCCCCGGCAGGATTTGAACTGACAACTTTGAGAAGACAAGAAAAGACCGAGAAGGATCGGGAAGGATGGGAACACGAAAGAGCGAAGTAATTCGCGCTGGGCGCGAACGCGCGGTCGTGCGCTTCGCGGCCTTTCCTGTCGTGCTGTGCCTTGTTGCGTAGTCGGGGACTCGAACCAGGGCGCGTGCCAGGAGCGAAGTCGGAGCGATCTTCTGCCGCAAGATTATACTGGTTTATTCACACGACTATATGCAAGGAACCGTCAGCGTCACATGGTTCAATCGAGGCAATCGACAGAGCACGAGAGAGCACACATCGGAGCAGTCCTCTGTTCGTTTTTAAAGAGTCCATCTTTCCAAAAGCGTCACTAGGGTCAGCGGCACCCGGGGTGGTGGCCCGCCGCTTGTGGCCCGGCCTCTCGTGACACCCGCCGCGATACCCCCCTCCCCCTGTTCTCAGACCCACGGTAATAACCCCCCCCCCCCCCCCTCCCCCATCACTGCCCAGCTGCACCGAGGCGGTCCACCCCCCAGTGACGCCACTGAATCTTCCCCAGGTCCATAGGTAGGGATTCCATGAGTCATTGCTTGCTGGCAGCCAATGCCTGCTGCCAGTTAACCGTCTCTCCTGCCTTAGCGTACACAGTACATCCAGCCGGCAAAGCTGAGTCAGAGTTCGGTGCACCCGAGCCTGGCGGTGGTTGACTTGAAATAGTAGGGTATTTCCGAATGCGTCTGCGCCCGCAATCTTGCACGGCTCCAGGGTTCGCCCTCAGTCGACGTGAACGTGACCCGCTGCTCTGGTGATCCGAGACCCAGGAAAGAGGCCGGACGTACGTCCTCGCTATGCCGACCCGGGCTTCGTACACCTCAGACTCATCCCGAGCGCGCTGTTCCTTGGGGAGCTCGCCCTTGTGCCGGCAACCTCAGGTCGCAGTCCACAGGGGCCTCTGTTTTGACGACGCTAGGCGAAACTCGAGGAATGTCATCCACTCGTTATATAGCGTCGACGGGCCACGCAGGAGGGACCGGCAGGCACTAATGAGATGCCAGCGTGTTGTTCTGTCAATCCTACAACAGACTTCCCGCGGCTTGTATTAGAAATGAGAGGGAATGTTGGGTAGGTGCCACCGTTCAGATGCCCTTTTCTTCTTCCCTGGGAGGCCTAACACACTTTCTGTGCTTATCAGTCTTCGTAAACATGATCAAGCTGAATTTTTTTCTGTTGATTTCGCATACGTTGCGTCCTCCTGTAGATGTGTAAGACGTCTGTGCTGAGAAACTCGTACCATGACGGTTGTGTTTGTGACGTCTTGTCAAGAATGCTGCTATAGAATGGAACTTACCCAGATGCAATTCTCTCTCGCAAAAATAGGTTCTTGCGCGTGAGCAGTGCCTACTCATTTTAATGGAAGAACGGGCTTTTTGTACAGACCAGTGGTATATATAGACCATCGCCTAATGGGCGCCGCCATCTTTGCTCACTGGGATGTGACACGAGTTCTGAACGTGCGCAGCAGCTCTCTCCCTCGAAATATGAAACGCCGCGCACGCCTCCACTGCCCGATGACTCGTCATTTTTTCACGTGGCTGATAAGCGCCGAAAAGGTGTAGAGGCATTGCATTGGTGTATACACCTACACAGTGTTTAGAAACAAGTCAGCTTTTCCCACACCAGGTATGGGCACTGCGCACGAGCAGACACCAGATTCGGGAGGAGTGAGGCTCCTGCGCATGCGCAGTGCCCACTGCAGCGCCACCGCAGTGGCATGACGTCAGAGAGTTGAGTTGGTCTATATATATCTGCCATCGAATGATTTAAACACCTATTATGCGCGTACCCAAATACTGACGAGTCGTTGGGGTGTGTTTTGTCTCGCTTAAAATACGACCAGGACTTACCCAATTTTCGTTAGAAAAACTAAAACAAAGGAAAACATGTCGAGGCTGTCAGGTGAAACAATGAAACGTATTTGAATGACAGCGAATGGCGTGTCTGAAACTACAGAACGCGTCGTTCAAACGACTTCCTGTGCGTCACTACTGGTTAGGAATGTAAACCTACTAAATCAGTAATTTTGTTGCGCGTATGTCTAGACAGCGGGGAAGTCAGTCAGCCCCATCGAACGTCTCGATATAAGTTTGACCCCGTAAACGGATTAGTTAAAAATCCGTATATACAGGAAGATAAAAAAAAAGGTTTAGCATATCTTGTTATTGTTATTCCTACCAAATAACTAATATATGTAACGTATGTGGGTAGCAACGAAAGTCACACCTATAAAAATGTATTTTTCACATTGTAAATAGTAGTTTAATGACATTCGAATGAATTATCGCTGCATTTGTTTTGAAAACATCCAGTCACGTGTAAACATCGTCTGTAATTGTATGCACACTTGTTTCTTCTTCTTATTGCTGAATAATGCTCTTGCTTCGACTTCGGAGATTGTTGTCACGTGGAATACACGACGTATTCCACGTGACATATTAGCGCGGACAAACGCTCCTCAGTTTCTCCGGATTTCTTTTTTTTTTTTTTTTTCGAAATTAAACAGCTGCCATAAGAACAACCAATCATCGCGGCGGAAAGTCCAATTTGAGGGCAGTGACGTAAAGTATAAATATCTGGTGCCCACCAATAATCCGTCTGAGAAGAAAAAAAAAAAAAAAAAGTAGGAGAGCGTTAATGTTGTGTTAGTGCTAGCCGTGTCGAGCAGTGTATACAGTTTCGAATCGTCGTCGTCCGAATAGAGGTGCTCTCGGACTATGTCTTTCGCGTATTAACCAGTCGGTAGTTCGGTCAAGGACAGATTACACTGGGGAGTATATCTGTACGATTCCTAGGGGTGAAATAATCGTTGTTTGTGTCGACTTCGCATCGGACGCACCATCGCGCGTCACTATTAGTTAAAAAAAATTAAACAACAACACAAGTTTGCTTTTAAAATTATTATGAACATTCAGAAATATATTATCGTCTATATTAAAAAAATATATATATTATACGTGGATTTTAATAGATTTTGATTCTGCTTAACATTTTACTCAGAATGAAGGAGGGCGTGATGCTTTCAAGTCCCAAGGCATGCGCCAACATTATTGTTGAAAAAACTTTAGCATGTAACGGGGCGGGGTCAAGAGATGAAGCAAAGTTGAAAAATAGCTGAAGAAAAAAAAATTCTTAACAGCAGCACGTTTTTATAAGTTAGAATTCTTGTCAGATATGGGAATATCGAATTCATAATTAAGAGCTTTGACCTCGTGTTACTCCAATACTTTGCTTATTCTAGATCGGTCATGACGCAGGAAGTCGACCGCCGTGACAAAGGTTTCTTAGCCGGTGTGAATGTGACTTATTTATTTATTCCCTAGTCCAAACATACTAACTTAATACAAATCATGATGTGACCGGTCAAGTACTGGAACCTCTTCACTTTGTAATCCAACCTGTGCAGCCTTAATTTTAAAATATTGGAATGTCAGTCTAACGCCGTCAATCCAACCGTGACACTAACCTTGAATCCTGATGAAGCATGTCAACACGTTCATTATTTCTTATTGTTCACTCACACACACACACATGCACAAACACACATACAGCTTTTAACACAGAGAAACACACAGCTTTTAACACACACACAAAAACACACAGCGGCGTTCACAGAATTCTTTGAACTACAATTCTGGACTTTTATAAATACCGTGTGAAGACAAACAGAAAAAAGACCATTATTTTGATTCGGCGACTAAGATTGTAATAATGACTAAGTATATATTTATCCCTAACATTAAGGAGGATACAAAATGACAACTGCCCATAATATAACATTTTTATGTACAGTTCTTCACATTTTTAGAGTCGGATGTTAGAATATCAGTTGTGCATGCACAAAAAGGTCTCAGAAGAAAAAAGGTAGGATGAAGCAAAAGCAAAGAAATATAGTCACAAAGACAAAAACGATGGGATTTAGAAAACGTTAAACATTTTGGAGAATCAATGACTCGTTATCTGTGGATACTCCGTGTTATAACGATGTATTAGCTACGAAAGAGCGCCCGGAGGCAAAGAAATTACTCACTTGAGCCGCGTTTGCACCAAGGTTTGTCCAGCCGACGATTGCTACGAGTAGGACGCAGTGCAGCTTCTTTGCCCACCCGTCGGACGCCATCGCCGCTGACTCTCAGCGAGAGAGAGAGTGAACAAACTTTTTTTTAAAAGACCCCTCCGCGAAATTTTTCACCCCCTACACGATGCTCGAACACCCTACTGAAGCGAGAACACCTTGTGCCGCTTTGGATATATACGCGGACGCTCAAAAACGACTCTTGCACTTTCCCTTCCTCCTCACGTCGAGCAGAGTGGCGGAGGGTGGAGGGCGCGAGATGTGTTGCCTTATCTTTCCTAAACAACCTCCACTCTCCTCCCCTCCTTCCGGTGGTTAAAGGGGAGAGGGAAGAGAATGGGAGAGACGGAGACCCGTGTCGAACCCCCCGTGCAAGCCACGGGAGAGCTGTTGTAATTTGAAGAGCTATCGGCACTTCCTTCGCTGGAAAAAACACACTTTGTCGTCGACGTCGTTCTTCCAGATCGCTTTCATTGATGGACATGGCTTAATACACACACGTACAAAATGCGCTTTTTTTTTTGTGGCGCGAACCGTTAAGATGTTGTAAGAGTTTATTTTTTTTATTTTTTAAGCATATTCAAGACGTGATGTGTTCAGCTTCGGTTCTTTGAAAGTAAAAAGACATCTTTTATTTTTTTATGTAAAAATAAGAAAACGTGGTAAATCTACGTGTACACAGCTCGACACTGTTAGCACGAACATGCGATTGCCGAGTTTCTCTAGATTTCAATTTCTATTATCAAAACGACCGGTGTAGTGGGGATCGATGTTCATACTCGGGGTCTTCCTTATAAATTGCAAAATGTTCCGCTCAACAATGCCGTGTCTCAGAAAAAAGATTCAGCACCCATAACGGAGTTCGCAGAAAAGAGTTACAAGACACCCGCAAAAGAATGGTAGCAATATTTCTAATTCAGCGACGTCTGTGTCTTTCCACTTATTGATCAGTTCTTGATCAGATGAGATCATAAAAAAAGTTGGAGCATCAATCCACGCTGTGTATGTCGTTGGCAAGCGAAGCTGTGGTATCACCTGCAACAATTGCCCACTGCACTACACCAAATGATTGACGAAAGAAAAGTAAATGCACTGTATCAAAGCTTACATTTTGAAACGACATTGATAACTGCTTCGTTATCAATGCGGGAAGCGCTACGTGCTTCGCATTGTTCGCGAGCGCCTTATCATCTATCATGTGGTTTTGACACTTGTTTTGTGCTTTTCTTATTGAAACATTGAAACGAATACTTGGGGGGGGGGGGGGGGGGGGGGGGGGGGTGCTGCATGCACACACCCCAGTATTCGTTTTAATAAGAAAATCAGAAAACAAGCGTTAAAATCATACGATAGATGATAAGGCGCGCGCGAACAATGCGAAGCCTCGTAGCGCTCCCCGCCTTAATAGCAAAGTAGTTATCAAGCAAGTTTTATTTCTTTTTTTTAATTTATGAAACGGTATTTTGTTGACTACTGTTTTGTCGACGGACACGAGGAAATCCGACCAACGAGTCACATTCCGCTTCGCTGTAATAAGTTCGAAGGCACCAGTAAAGTAACTTTAGCAACGCTTGTAGGTCGGAAACCTCCATGTTTTGCTACTGGACCTCGCATACTTCGCGCTGAATTTATTTATCGTGACACCCATACAGGGGTTCGAAGACACCCACAAAGGAAGGGTAACAGGGTTTGAAGCTGGGCGACGTCTGTGTTCTTCACGTTGTTCTTTTTTTTAATACATCGTGACATTCACAGAGAAGTTCGGGGACACCCATAAAAGAGTTTGAAAACGCGCACAAGATATCTATGTAACCCTATGGCGGACTCAAGTCCGTCTGCTTCTTGCACATGGGTCGCGATGACGTCAGACCGCTGAGCTCGTATTGGCCCATTGGAAAGAAAAAATAGTGGGTAGGCTTGGAGGCATCTAGCATTGAGGTCTACCCACGAACCTTTCAATCGAAGCCAGTCAGAACTCGGCGTCTTTTTGACGTCAGCCGCAACTCCTGCGCATGAGGCAGACGACATCCGCATATCCAGCGTCTGTGTTCCTCTCTACTGGTGGCACTTCGCGGCGCTGTCTTTATTCATCTTGGAGCACACCGTGCTGCGAACTCCCGCCGTTCGTACACCGCACAAAACGTACACGACGTTCATTGCACACATAGGATAACAGAATTGTCCGGCGACTTTTGCATACGACCAGCGTGACAGGACCGCCATTCGAGGAAGAAATAGTACGCTACAGGCAGTGTCTGAGACTGTCTTTTGTATGATGTAGTCGCAGGGCAGTTTTAAAACGTTTGAGGACGCCCGTAGAGGATCAAGTAACCCCCCCCCCCCCCCCCCTTTTCCAAAAAAAAGGAAAGAAGTCTCCTGTGGCGCCAACACGTGTCCGACTGATGCGGTCAACGGCACGCGGGCGTCGAACATCGCTCCCCTTTCCGAGCTCCTCTCTCGCCGGAGATCGAAAAGGACGGAGGGAGAGGAGAGCAGCTCGCTCGCACGCGCCTCGACTGGGTTTCCCCGATGTCGTCAAGAGGCGCCAACGCAACACTCACATACCCCGACGCGCCGCAGGAAAGAAGAACGGAACAAAAAGCGGCGGCGGCCACGTCGGAAGCGAATGCGAAGATCGCAAAAATGCATATAATATACTCTTTAAAAAAAAAAAAAAAATAATAAATAAACTTCTCGCGCGCAGTCACCTTTGTCAACTGGGTTAGGGAAGGCGTTCTTAACGTGTGATAGTAGAGCTCTCTTCTGTAATATATCAGACTTCTGCACGCGCAGATCGTCCCGCAGAACCCTCCAAACACCGACCACTAATTTTTGCTATAATCACTTCACTCGGTCAGAAAGACGATCGGAACCATTCATGATCCGTTGGTCGTGCCGTGTAAGTGGCAAAAATGGGCGGAGTTTTTTTTAGCGTACTTTGGCTTCTTGCTCTGGATTTCGTCCCAAAATGCAACGCGCACAGTGTTGCATTGTGGGACGTCACAGACCTAGACACCAAATCAGTTTCTCCGCTAAATTTAGCGGGGAAGCTGAATTGTTGTATAGATCGCGTGACATATCAGGTCACGTGACGTCAACTTCCCAGCTACATGTAGCGGGAAAATTGACATCCAGGGACCAACACACCAATTGAGTTTCCCCGTTAAATTTAGCGGGAAACTTGATGTCACGTGATGTTAGAGCGTTTCACGTATGCAACACAATTTCCCAGCAATTTGCCGTACATTTTTTTTTTTTTTGCTACTCCGATTGAATGACCACAAAACATAGTACCAGTCGTCATTCTGATTGGTTGAACTGATCTGTAATTGGTGTTGGAGAGTGCTTCGTGGTAGAGTATACACTCGGCAAGTTCTGGCTGTCTGGCGCATACAGGAGAATTGACCTAAACGGCCTCTGAAACTGTATAGAATTAAATGCGTGCCGCGTGGTTCGTTTAGAGTAACTATATCACCTGCACATTCTTTCTGAGAGCTGAACAGTTAAAACTGTCCAAATATTAGTGTTAAGAAAAAAACGCTCCTTATATAGTGAAGCAACAGCCACCTTTCTTGTCAATCAAATCCCGTTGTCTTCGGTGTCGACATTCCGAATTCATTTCCCGAGGAATTTGCCGTAATGCGGAAACAGTAGCTTTTATCGCACTGTACGTGATTCGAAAATCTAATCAAACGAGAACTAAATCACCATGTAAAAAAGGAAAGCCGTTTCGCATATGTATATACTTGCCATTCGCTCGTGATCTTCAAATAAAAAAAATATTACTTTCTAAAAAAACAAACTTGATATAAGACAGCGAGAGCGGACGACATCAGCCTGCTCCTCGTGAAAATCGTGAAAATAACCAGTTTTTCGGGTTACCCAAAACAGAAGCTAAGGAACCAATCCGTTTTTTTTTCAGTATACCATTTATGCAAAGATGCGATCGCAGACTAGCTAGGGAAGGGGGAAGGGTCATATCTGCGTAATATTTCTATTTTTCAGCGTCGCGGTTGTTGTGAGATAGCCAGCGCAAAGGAACCGCAAAAAAATGCATTTTTGTCCGTGTGCTTACGTGTGCGGCAATCATCCATCCGCGGCTTAGAAAGAATAAATCCCATCCCACTTGCACTTTCTAGATAAGCGCCGCGGTGTCGTTAACCGTGTCGAACTTAATAAACGATTTCCCCGTGCGTTCGTCGAACTCCCCTGAACCGACTTTGAATATAGCTCTCTCCATCGGGCGCGCCTTGCGCGGGTAATCTTACCTGGGCATAGAAATATGGCGGACATCCCATTCATATTGATCACTTTAACATTTCTGGAAGGTCCGTATGTTGAGGGGTAATATGCTAATTTAAAAAATCACCCTTCCTGCGTAGTACCATCTTTGAACGCTAGATAGTTTTTTTTCTTTTGCATTGTTTTAGGAAGAAAAATGGCAGCGGTGAATTACAGTGGACCAACCAACCCCCCCCAAGAAGGTTTAACGTTCTTCCTACGAAATGTGCTTTGTCGTGCGTTTTTGGCTGTCATTACTTGCAAACTACTGGTTTGCACATCACCTCTACCGGTTATACTTTTTTTTTCTCACGACCACAAAGAAAATCAAACGCATCGAGGCACTTTCATGCTGACTGTTTACTGTTTTGGCTGCTCATTGGTACAAATGAAAAGCGTGTCTACAAAAGCCGGACAAAATAGCGCAAATACTAAGACAAAAAAAAAAAAAAAAAACACGGACGCTTGCTACATCGCAGACAGATTATGCCCCGTGGTCTGGGAAGACATTTAAAACGGCAACAAGCCACATACATTTGACCTAAATCTCTGTCTTTGTGGCAGAACATGCTTCTGTTTGTGTTCAAGAAGGGTGCATACAGCCGCTCATGCAAAAGTCGCATTTCTTGCCCATTTTTGCAGTCTTGGGTAAGTTACTTTTAAAAAGTAATTCGTTACAGTTACAATTACTTTCAGAAAAAGTAGAGAAGTTACCGTTACAGTTACCGCAACAGAAGAGTAACTCGTTACAGTTACAGTTACTTTTAAAAAGTAACGACGTTACTTTCAGTTACTTTTCTATAACACAAAAAAATAGAAAAAAAAACTAGAAAACGCCCCTCACAACGTTTTACTGTATAAAATTAAAAAGTACGCTTTTTATTTAATATTGTAACTTAG